TTTCCTCTATCTTCTGGTGGTCGACTGGATCATGAATACCTAGACACCTGAGGGAAAGAATAAAATACAATGGACATCTCGGAATCAATTAGAAGATTTGGACTTCGCAGATGATCTGGCCCTTCTATCCCATACACACGAACAAATGCAAATGAAGACAACTAGAGTAGCAGGAGCATCTGCATCATTGGGTCTTAACATACACAAAAAAAGAGCAAAATCCTCAAATACAACATGGAAAACACCAACCCAATCACACTTGATGGAGAAGCTGTAGAAGATGGGGAATCTTTCACGTACCTGGGAAGCATCATCGATGCACAAAGGATCGGATGCAGACGTAAAGGCAAATATTGGCAATGAAAGTACCGCATTCCTACAATTGAAAAACATATGGAGCTCAAAACAATTGTCAACCAATATCAAAATCAGGATCTTTAATACGAGCGTCCAGACAATCCTGTTGTACGGAGTTGGAACTTGGAGAACCACTACAACCATCAATAAGAATGTACAAGTATTTATAAATAGTTGTCTACGTAAGATACTCAATATCCGCTGGCCGGACACCATTAGGAACAAGGTACTGTGGTAGAGAACAAACCAGCTTCCAGCTGAAATCAGGGAAAGGCGTTGGAAGTGGATAGGACATATATTACGGAAACCATCAAACTGCATCACGAGGCATGCGCTAACTTTGAATCCTAAAGGGAAACGGAAAAGAGGAAGACCGAAGAACATACTGCGTCGGAAATTGGAAGCAGACATGAAAAGGATTGCCCAGGACAGGGTTGGATGGAGAATACTGGTGGGCAGCCTATGCTATTCCATAAGGAGTAACAGACGTAAGTAAATACTGTTGGCTGAAATAAAACTATCCACTAGAATATTAAATAAGGTGGATAACGTTGTTTTGATTGGAGCTATGAGAGTAGAGTTTATTCTTTACTAAATCCACCAATGCACTTGGTATCAAATCCTTAATAGAGATGAACCTGCCCTTTTAACTTTACTGTTAGACAAAACTGAATGGGATTTTATATTTTACATTCGTTGTATATAACTGGACAAGGATATAAGGCAAATAAAAAGGAACAAATTTTGGCTCGAAATGGAAAATTAGTATTTGGCTTAAAATGTTCCATTTTTACGAAAAGTTGCACAAAATTTGAAGTCGACTTCTTACCGGTTACTAAAGATCAGACTGGATACAAACGAGATAATTATGCTTTCTAAAACGTAAAATCTCTAGTCTTTCCAGTATTATCAATCCAACTGATGTATGAACCTATCCAGTGATAAAGTTGTCAAATAGCCCAGTTTATTGAACTAAGATTAATTTGTATTGTCCAACCTCACTTATTTTCCAAGTGAACACTTAACAGATCCTTCCAATCCATATTATTTTATAATATATTTCTCAGTTATAGTGAACTGGAGAAGTAAAACTTGTCAAATTTCTGCGTACAAATAAAATGTATCGTTGAGCTTGTCTAAAAGAATATTGTGTGGTTAAACGTTAAAAAATTGTTAAGAAAATAACTCGCAAGAATTGCGATACTACATTAAACAAAGTCTAATTGCCAATGGTAATCGATAATCTTGAAATATCGGAAATTAATTCAAGTTACGAATGTGAACTATTGCATGCCAACCCAGTGGTTAGAAGTTATGCTTTCCTGACTTTAGGTCCAATCCTTGGAGAGGTAATGAATGACACTACCTAACAGTTTTATATAAACTTGAACAATTGTTCTACGCTTAGTGGTTTTCAGTGACTGTATAACCAAATTCATAAAAATTTAAATTCAAATCATAATGACGAGCACCTTTATATGCCATTTCTTGATCTTATTTAGTTGTGATTTCCTCAGTGGTATGGAATAAATCCTTACCGTTTTTCCGCTCTACGACAATTAACTGTTGAATGTCATAAGTTTTACAGTGGTCTTGAGCGCTGTTAAAGGTATGAGGGCGGTTATCACTTCCCGGTTGCCCTCAGCGTGGAAAAGTTCTTCTGAAGGTACCTGGATTCCTTCTTCTTGTACTATATCCTTATAAGCAATCTTTCTTTTATATATTACCACCTCTGAATTAACTACTTTTATGAATCCGGTGTTCATCTTGCTGTGCTAATGCGGTATGGCAACTTGGACCGGTGCATATATGTGCCTGGCCCTACGTTGTAGCTGACTGATAAGTTCTACAGTATATGCTTAAATCGAATAATATCTCGAAAAGTATCACAAAAGGTACTATAGTTTACAGACATGATCGAGTTGATAAAATAAGGGACGTAACATGTAGAATAAATATAAATACAAATTATTCAAAATGTGTTTCATAAATTGCTTCGATAAAAAGTTGATCACGGAGATTTCAATAATGCCAAACAGTAGTTAATAGCAAGTGTTTTCTTAGCAGGAGTACTGGGATGTTATGCTGAATTACTAAGACGGTGGTAAAAGGTCGTTACAGGTATCTTAAAGTAGAGAAAATAAAGAAGACTGAAAACACTAGAAAACTACTGTGATAGGTCTACTGTCACATATATGCTTTATCACTTTGTGAGGTTATTGAAGACATTTTATTTAAACCAATCAACTACTGAATAGGAAAAATGAATGCGACATCGAGAGCAAAAATAGCGTAAAGTTAAAAATATTAACACAAAAGGATTTTCAGTAAGCAAACTAAGTTATGAAAGTATTCAAAAATTAAATGTCCCTGTTATTTTACTATGAATACGGTATATGTACAAAGGTAGTGCCCGGAGGGTTAGTCATCAATGCAGCGTAGAAACGAGAGCATTAGTTATGTTCCACTAACAGATATGGCAAAATATACCGGGGTCAGAAAAGTTAAGTCATACAAATGGCAGATTTAAAATGTGAGTTCACTTTGTGACCTTGAAACACTCATCTCTCATATTCGTTATCATAACGCATTTACTAGTGACTAGCTTCAATATGTAATTTCTGAGCCTCTAATGTGAAGCCGTGACTGATGGAGTTTCGGCTGCATCGAGTGTGGGGAAAGTAACAACTGATGATAAAACAAGATAGTGTGTAATATCGCAGACTGGTAGTAGCTAAACATGAACACCATTGGGTTAGTGGTTTAGAGGTTAGGTATTCGTGCGGGAGAGCGAAGATCCTGAATTTAGTACCAGGTGGCAAGGTCTTGGATACAACTGCTCAAGAGTCCTGTACTAGGACGAAGCAACTATCCAGTACTACCAAGTTTCCAATGGTTACCCAAGTTAGGTGGATCCGTGATCTCAAAAGAATTCAAGTTTTCACAACCGAAAAATTGGTTACGAGAAATTTTAGAAATTGTGTAATCCAGGATAGTCTACTTGTTTTAAGAGAGTATGTTTATGGATTTGTTTGTCAACTGTATGGAATTTTATAGTTGAATGAACTTTCTCGACGATTTGGTACTGCTTTTTATCGGTGATTTTGTTCATAACAAACCGTAGACACTACCTAATTACTCAGTGTAAGAGTTCTACAAGATCGGCTCATTTCTATTAATGTAGTGATTTTGAATGTAAAATAAGTATTTGTCTTCAACTTGGTATATAGAATATACGGAATTATAATGGTCATCAATGTACATAAAACCATACTTCTAATCTTTTTGTTAGGTCCCGATAAACATAATGAATGGTAATTTTGGGAGCACTTTATGGACCAATACTAAACGTATATTTTTATCGTCTAACTGTTAAGTAACTAAACTGTTCATATTCATATTGCAGAGGCTAAGACTAGTGTTCTGGACTTAACTGGCTGAGCTAGGCGGAAAGCAGGACCAATCAGGACTCTAGGCTGCTTGCACATGTTTTACGCGTCCTTGGTCCGATCGATAATTCGCCGATTCTGATTGGCGGCTTTGGGCTATAACACTTTCCATGTAAACACAATCCCAATGATATGCTTAATAAACATCCCTTGGTCTTAAAAATTATATTCCATTTGACTACTATGTTAAAATCAGTCAATTCGAAAAATCTACGTATATTTTACTTCACATATATGTAGAAATCATTTTTTCGGTTTAAAAAAACAGACTGAAAGTTTCCTTTCAATGAACAATCATCCATTGAAAATTTAATATCAATCATATTTGGAAAATTTAAGAAATGAAGCATAAATAGTCTAAAACATGAAGAACGCTGAGCACATACAAGTTAAAGAAGGTCAACAAACGAATGAATAAATAAGTATGCATTTATGAATATAACAGAGCACCATTTGTTAGTGTAATACACAAGGACAAATTGTTTTGTTCCTTGTTTAAGAAGAAACAAACTGACATAAAAAAGCATGCAAGGTAAAAAACGTAAGCAATAATACTAACAAGACAATACAATAACAACTTTAATAGGAATAAAATAATATAAGAATAGTATATTACTGACTGCACTGTGAATTAGTTTTTCTGCTTCTTCTTCAGTCACTGAGATTTATGTGTAATATGTAATAGGAAAGACAATGACAAAGAGATTCATGTCTTCTCATGATTATTAAAGACAGTACAAGTTTCTTCTTACGTAAGATACAACAGTAATGAATAGGATGAATTAAAGTAATGTGGTATAAGACAAGGAGGAAAGAATAAATGAAATACATACATACACAAATAAAACATGATTACAGACAACTACATAATTATTTGGATAGACAGGTAGATATACGTCTTGGGAAGCGTCTTAAAAACACTTAACGCTTAGCAAAAGTAAATAGGTATTCCGTACACAGAGACAAAGAGTACGAAAGGGAACATTAGAATCATGAAGTCAAATTGCAACAACACAACATATATATACACTAAATAGGATAAGAGTATAAAAAGTGCAGAGTGAAATAACTAATTTTTCAATACTAATTGCTAATAAGCAATGAAAATGAAAAATATAATGGGGGTTCCACGAAAATTATGCAATAATGTATGTTAGTAGTAGTAGAGACAAACTAATGATTTCCACTTAAATTCTATACAAATACAGAATACATATGATTAAAGAAAATTATTAATATTACAAAAATCAAAATACATAAACATACTGTACGTATAACAGATAAATTACACTTAGCCTTTCGAAATGGTAAAAAATTACGATGGCGAAATAATGATGTAATTAAAATGCCGATGAAAATACCAATGAACAAATCTTTATCACTCCATAAATTAATAGGTCTATAATCATTATTTTTATTTTGATAAATGTCATGATTATTATTATTTGGTTCCATTTGCTTCATGATATTTTTAATATTTTTATATTCATCTAATATAATTTCATCGATATTCCATGTTGTCATTTGTTTAGTACTATCACAATATCCTGGACCAAGAAGAACACCAGCTGGTATACCACGACTGAGAAGGGAGAAGAAAGAGAATAGTAATCATTCAAATCGTTCCTAATTATCATAAACAATCAAATTAATATTATTATTACTCACGATGTTATAATGTTATAATTAAACAAAAAAGGTTCTCAGTTTGAATTTTATTTTTATTACATGATGTCATACATTTAACAATTATTGTATTTCGAGTTAAATAATAACCAACTATAATTGTTGCAATTGTTTATTACAGCCTATTTGAAATGTGTAACAGTTCCGCTTAAACGAACTACTATATATATATATATATAGGGTAACATGTAATCTGGACGGTGTTCCAACTAAAATAACAACTATTCTACGCTTCATTAGCAATTATATAGTAATTCTGATGGAATAGTAAATTTTAAAATCAAAAAGCGGTAACTAAGGTTGATGATTACAGATCCATAGGCGAGTTATATAATAAAGACAGTACCTGTTTGTAAAAAATTATAGAGGGAGATTGATTTATTCTGTGTAGACAGTGGCGTAAAAAACATATTTTTACACACCGAACGTTTGCGTAAAATAGGTGCCCCGAGGGTGGGGGGTTTTCCTATCCCTCTCGAAATGCTGTCACATGACCATGTGCACACAGCCACTGCCTGGGTAGTTCTAATCTCTGCCTTCTCGTGGTGGGAGTGTTGTTTGCGGAGTTAAAAGTACGAAAAGCGAATGTCCGGCACAGTGAGGCTATAAGTTATGAACGGCTTTTGAGCGACGCTGAAGTGACCTTGAGGGTGTCCACCTAGTAACAAGGACCAAATGAGGGTTATGAAACATTGTGGGGGATTAGAATTATGATTTCCAGTTGATGGTTAAGGTTAGGAATCAGATTTAGGGTTTTCATCACGAACTGACATCAGCTATAATGCCAAGTGGATAAGTGAATTTCGCGCAAAAATCCGAGACCTATTATCTTATACCTGATTGGTTCGTCCATAAATTATAGAGATGTAAAACCTTGATTCCAAACCAATGGTGCATATGGCCTCCACTATCCTGTAGGAACAAATGGTATATGAACTAATCGTTGGTCACCGGCAACCATGGGACTGCATCTCCTGGCGTTGCTCCACTGCCTTGTAGATCAGGCCTTCAGGTCAAAGGCTCGGGGTGTGGCAACCCAAGAAAACCACCTGCTTCGATTTGGGCACCTGGGCAGTAACACAGGCCTCACACAAATCAATGATAGCTACTACTGGCCCCATTATTACTGTGCGGCGCGTATGTATGTAAAATAGTTAAACGGAAATAAAATTTGATGAAGACAATCTTGACAGGAAAATGTGATTATATTTACTTTTAAATTATAGGCATCTGATTATTAATATTTCCGAATCACTAGTTAAATATACAGTTAGACTAACCAATTTCGTTAACCTGTGGTCGATTTTTTCCTTAGTTCATTCACACAATTTATTGGTATTTATGTGACAGCCGAATGAACTTGCTGGATGAATTGTTTACAAACCAAAATAGTAATTACAGCATCTTATATTCGGGAAGCATATATTTAATATGTCTGTTTAATCACTTGGTTAAGCATAAATTTCATAAGATTTAATCTTACATAAAAAGTAAATACAAATAACATGAAAATAATAATAAGCAGATTGAGAATTGTAAAATAAAATCCTACTTGATTAAACGACATCGTTGTTCTTCAATGCGCGGACCGGCAAATTCTAAGTCATTTATTTCTTTAGCACTCCAAAGACGTTCTGCAACAGCACTTGTAACCGGCCTGTCAAGAATAAATATTCAAAACTAGCAATTATCAAAGAATCTCAACAAATTTATCAGTATCTATTGTCCAAAAAAATATCTTAATTATGCGCAAACTCAACGAAAAGCAGGAGGGTCATTTCTTTCCAAACAGTGTGGAACCAGTGGATTTTACGTTAATGGACGCTCTCCTTTTTAAAAATCTAAATTGTTTCTACATATTTGAAATATTTCTTGACAGACACATGTTATTTGGCATGCTTATATATATATATCACATCAACAAGATGTTCTTGTCCTATCGAGATTTAATGGTTCCCAACTATCCTCTCATATTATCATAATGCTTGTGTCGAACGTTCTCTTAAAGCAATTTATGAAACGTATATTTTCAAACAATTTGACCTAATCTATTTATTTTTTATATATAAAGGGAATATACCCTTTGAGACATAAAATTGAAAAAAAAAACTGGTTCAGCGAAGAGTATTATTTGCAGCTTTGAAAATGAATTCGCCGAAAAGAGAACTCTTCGCCTAACCAATTTTTATTTTTACTTTAGGCTTAACAATGATTTCTGTATTAATCAGATAATGCCTTTAGATTGACATGCATTCTGTGGTAATTTAAGAATAAAATTTACTTATGACGTATTCATGCATGTATTTTGAAGGATAGACGTGTTTCGGAAAATAAAAAGTATACACTACCATAGAATTGTTACGACGAGAAAATATATATGTGGTCATTCGTTAAGGATAGATTCGATAACAAACAGCTGGAATTATCGAACAACGGATAAGTAGAAAGCTACTTATTCAATAAGTAAATAATTCATTAAATTCTAGGAATTACTAGCAAAAAAAAAGAAAATGGAGGTAATGAGTACGTTATAGTTAATTAAACAAAGAAAAAAACTTTGAAAAAGTATTTCAATATGATTAACGTAATAAGTTTAGTTACCAAATTTTTGTTAGAACTGTATCATCCGATTGGTATTCACTCCACATGCAAGCTTCACCACCTAGAATTTGTTGTTCAGTTTCCAGTGGAGCATCTTTACGAAAAAATACAACCGCCACAACAACAACAAAAATGTAAGTGGATATTCGATATTAATAATAATGATAATAGCAGCAAATCATTCCTAATTCCTTTTACATGCGAAACCAAAAAATAAAAACTTAACACCCTGTTAAATTACAATCAGTAACCTATGGGAATTATATTTTCAATGATGTTTTTCATGATCACTATAACTAAATTATTTCGACTCCATTACTACTTATCTAATTAATGTCATTTCATTGTCCTGATGTAGTATGATAGCATGAGTAAACACAAATTCCTACTGGGCTCTGTGTTAGCCATAACTGATTGATTCTAACTTCGCACTCGTGAGACTTACTAGGCAATAATTTCCTATTATTGAAAACTCCATGTCAACTGGTTATATATCATCGTTTAAGGTATGCATTAATTAGAAAATGATCGACTTACCGTTGGATGGATCGCACAGATAAAAATCTGTCCAACGCTTAATATCATTAAGTAAATCCAAATACCAACAACTTGAATAGATAATATTAAAACCTTTAGATAAATGAGATAATGGATGACTTTTCCAGACTTGAACAAACAGCGATTTTTTAAGCTGTGAAAAAATTCAGCGCACATAATAAAAAAAAATAATGAATACATAGGAATTCTGCAATAAAATGGGAAAAATATTTCAGTGACTCAAGGTTATGCTTTAAATGATGGTGAAATGCCGAATACATAGAACTAGTTGAAACAGCTGTCTTATTGCATTTGTAACTTATTTGCTGTCGTGAAGCATCAAGTCGTTGTGTGAAGTATAGGAAATGGCTATCACGGTGAACATAAAGGTGCTAATTCATGATGAAGCCGTATGCAAAATAATTACGATTATTTCATTACATAATCTCTGTCCACTTAAGTAGTCCCTATTGAAATATAAACAAACCACATGGAAGTGTAAGATGATGATAATCATAAGAAATTGTGTGGAAGTCATTGTTGAAGAGTTTATGAATATATACATAGGAATTAAAATTCAACTCCATTGCACAAGCCACTGATTATTTGGAAGCAGTAGCTAAGTAAATAACACGATGGCGTTTGGGGTGAACAGCACTGATTTCAAGTCTTCATCAGAGCATCAACACTGTGATGCAGTTATAACCTCAGCTGACGAGTCCCACATTGGACAATATAAGCATCCTGAATCCCACTGCGAGCAGTCACCAATCTCTTCTTAAAAAGTGGAATTTTGAAAGTAATTTATTGAATTACAAAGTACTTTTTCCTTACATCGGTTACATGTTCTACGACATCTTCCCACAGAATTAAATTTCGTTTCGATTGAGGATTCTTCTTGCCTATTTGGGTAACTAGATTTTGTACACTATAGAAAGACAAAAATTAAGGGAATTAAATACACAAACATAAAAATCCCGATTAAATTTATGTATTCTCACATGAAAAGCATCGATAAATTGGTGAATAAACAAATATTTATTGGTGAATGAAATAATATTTTACCAACAAAAATTAAATAAATAAGAGGTTTTATGATCAGTATAGCTCATATTTAAATTTAAATTAACATGAAATGCACTAAATATGAATTAAATTCTTTCCGGAATATAGATAGATAACGACAACCAAATCTGTTAATTCCCCAATCCGTTCATAAGAAAATCAAACAAATTTAACAATGAAGATGGTTTTTAATAAATTCACCAAGTCATATTAAATTGATCCCTATTATCGTTGTCGAGATTAAACGTTGAATATTCTTGTTAGTTCCAGTACACCGAACGTAAGGTTGTAGGCTAAACAAATTATTATTTAATAAAACGGCAAATAGAGCTAAAAACTTTCTCCATTAGTTTCCATCATGGCACTACCTCATTCTTTCGAAAAATATTCAAACAATTTTCTTAGTTCTTTGACATTTATGATCCTATATATTTACAATATTCGTCTTTTAATTCTAACAGTTACTAAAATATTGACTTTTTATCGAAATATTTTGCTAATGCTCTTTCTAAATATTATGTAACCTGGTAATCATAATTGAAGTCCTGTCATTTCCTACAATCAATTACTTTGGTTATTATGATCCTTTTTCTTCCAATTACTCAATCATTTGATATTAATTTGAAATTACTGTGAAATCGGGTAGCTATTATATTACACTAGTGTTTGATTAGTATTATTTTATTGTTATATATGTATCGCTTTACCAAATGTCCAAGTGCAAATTGTCATTACAATTACTATTTACTGTAGAAATATACATATTCTGAAAAAATAAAACTTTGATCGACCTCGGGTGCTTTAATACGATAAATGTAGAAGAATATATACTGACCAATTTTGAGGAGAGTAACTACTCATCATTCAAGTCCACGAAACAAAAAATTATCATTTTAATAAAAATACATAAAATTATGCACACCAAATGAAGAGCACAATGCTACATCGGGAAGTAATCCCATGGATAAAAACCAAATAATCGAGATATTTCGAAATAAGATACACAAAAACTCAAGACATTTCTCCAGTTTATTTTACGAAAACTAGAGAACACAAAGACAGATGGAAATCAAGGTAAATATCATCTAAAAACTGATAATCCGCCACCTTACTATGTTTTTAAATAACTTAAGAAAAAAGCATTATCATTGGAAATAACGTCAGCAAATTACCATCTCCAAAAGTAGTTAATCCAAAATATTGAATTGGATTGATCATGATTTTCAACGCCCTGTAGAATTTCAGGATCACGCTCCCTTTTAAGAAAGATATAAATATGTATAGCAAAAAATCTATGAAATTGAGAAACCAAATTAATGTGATCTAAAACACTTATATATGAACGAAGAATATTCGTTTCAACGGATTCTCTTCAGATTCTAATGTTGTATATTCAAATCATTAGTCTAAAAAGTGACCAGGTTTAAGACAAATACATTGTTTAAAATTATAACACGTGGATTTAAGACTGTTTGTTGTAGAATAAAATAAAACTATTAATGTTGGAATGACTACCATGCAGCGTTAAAAAGTTAAGTGAGTTCGGTAGGAAATAATGGAGTAGAGTGAGGAGTAACCAAATTATTCATGTGTTCAGAAGATTAGTGGTGGTGTTGAAATAATAATAATAATAATAATAATAATAATAATAATAATAATAATAATAATAATACAGAGATGTGTGGATAAAAATACAAAAACAATAATATGTGAAAATTATATTTGAAATTTAACTAATTCCGACGAATCCAGAGTCGAATCAATCTATAAGATCCACACACGTATATAAATGGGAAAGCTAGTGATACATCACGAGACATTCAAGCAACTAACATTTAAGGTAGACTGAGGGATGTCCGCGTACGCTGTCACATGTGACCAAGCATAAATATTCATACAGACATGATAGTAATAATAATAAAACAAACGAATTGTTACCACTCAAATAACACTATCTGACAAATAAGATAATTGAAGGGCTTGACAAAAGCAACCGTAAACAAACTTAATTGTAGAAGAGGTGCTATATATATGATCTTTAAAAATCAAAATCCGCCGCAGAATCATTTAGTTGTAAAACTGGTTTTTGTTGTTGTGCAAAGTAGTTGTTTTCTGCTAAGTTCTTGTATCATTTGTTCCTATGTAAGTTGCGAAAAAACCATGTTACTAGTAATTATATATTATACTTATATTGCTGAGTGGACACGCCCATTCTGTCAGGGTGTAAGTCAAATTACCTCAGTCGATCGCAAATGCCAATATTTCGATACTGATAAAATATTTCGCAAGATCTCCATGTCTCTATCTAGGAAGATTGAGTGCATAATAGAATCGTAGAATGAATAATGCTGAAGTAATAATTGGATACTAATTAGAAACTCTAACCAGTTGACGACGATATGAACTTTGCTGACCAAGTTAGTTCAGACATATGTGAAAAATGCCTAGCCATCACCTACACAAACTTTCCCTGAAAAAGCTTGGACCAGATTTCCAGGCGAAACGTTGAATTTACTCCAAATTCCTTCGCTGACATTTTACAAATACATTCTTCCTCTTTAAACTTCAGGCAGGTTGAAATAAACCTAGGAGTGACCAAGCCAAGACCTCAAATCAGTTCATGATATCACTAACTGTCAATATTGACGTATCAGGACGAAGACTGAAGAAATGGTAGCTACTACTAAGGAGGAAAAGTTATATTTGTAAGATCTCAGCGACTGAACTCTGAAAAAGTCCAACGTTCTCTCGAAAATCTTGGCAAAGCCTTTTTAATGAACATAATCAAACATCTAAATTATCGAGCATAAATAAGTACATGGTTTTCCGGTTAACTGTATATCAAACAGGTCACCCAATGACGTTAACAAAAGTGAAAGTGACAATTCGCTGTAATGCATATGAGACATCTGGTGTGTAAAGAAAAGTTTGTTAAGATAATAGTTGTATGTATAAGTAAGTGGATCTGAGGTAAGAGAAGAAATTCCACTGATTATGTATCGCCTCTGACCGGTGATTTTTTTCACGGGAACAGACAACTTTATAGATGATATGAGTCGAGTGACAGTATGTATTAAATGAATATAAATAAACAAAAAAAATAGTATTTTTGTTATTGTTTTGAGCAAATTAATTGTTTATCATCTATTTAGGTAAACAAACTGATTAGGAAAGTTGAAAGTAATCGTTGTTGTTCAAATAACAAGTGCTAGATTATATGGAGTAAAATACAATATATTTCAACATTGTTCGGATGATCAGATAACCCGTTTGGTAGCATGTACTTATTTATATTCGATAATTTCGATGCTTGAAAAAAACTATGCCATGATTTCCGAGAGAAACGTTGAACTTACTCAAAGTTCAATCACTGAGATTTTACAAATATAATTTTTCCTCTTTAATGAATTACATTAGTTTGGCTCCCAACTACTGTGAAACGATTTGTTTAAATTTAGATGAAAGCTCTTATAAAGTGAATTACTATGTTCATGTATTCCATTTATCGTAAGCTTTCATTTAACCGATCGATTATTATTACGCAGTTTTTTATTTACAACTTATTCACAGTCAATTATTTACATCTTGTCTTTTTCACATCCATTTTTGGTTTGTTGATGTACAATAGTGACTTTTTCAGCTTATAATGAGATGTAGTCCAAGATATGTGTATACAATCCACTTGTGTATAAAATATAATATACAGTAGACGATGGCTACTAACTTCTCTTCGGACTCAAGGTAAGGAACAGAGAAAAGCTTGCTGATAGCGAACCAGTAGGAGCTTGGCTTGAGTCAGTTGAAGTTTAACTGTTCCGATCAAGTCTAGGATACCAGACTTTAAAGGTAATAGTAGACGGGGGATAGAAAGAACTTTATTCAGAATCCTGATTGGTGACCTTAGTACGTGATATCGATTAGCGTATCAAGTCTTTAGATTGGGTTGTGTTGGCATATCCAGACTACTTAGTCAGAGCGCAGACGGTTATTACGAAGAATGATTGGATACGATAATTAACATGCCTCAGAATCGGTACAAATGCATTTACTCTTTGCCTTTCTATGAATCTTAGCTTTAAAATTATCCCATACCCTTCTAACCTACAAATTCCTTCTTCATCCTCATATCATATTGTCTACCGCTATGCTTCTCGACCACCACTGATGTAGCTACTACTCTGGGACTGGTCTAGATAATCTCGTCTTGCTGTGTTGATATGGTGTGGCAATTTGAACCGATCCACATATGTGACAGGTCCTACATTGCGTATCCCTAACTGACTGATTTCAGTGTTGAGTAACAAAAAAAGAAAACTTAAAAATGTATGTGTGAGAAATGAGAAAGGCAGAGGATTCTTAATATTTCTTGCTAAATACTTCAGTATATACTAACAACAGTAAAAAGTAAAAGACTAGTATTTAAATAACCAGCCATGTGAAGATATTAGAGTATTTATTTTTTAAAAACAACATAACATTGCCTAATACTTAATGAACGATTATTATAAACACCTTAGTCCTACAAAAGGCTAACCACAATTAGAAGAGTAAATTAGCAATATCTCTGATTGTGATCCCGATCCGTAATGTTTGCAGATAAACTTGACTATTTCGATATAACGATATCTCATCGATTGGATTTAACAATTTGTATGTGTACATGAGAATGATGGCAACTTAGCTAATCATCCAAATTAACTTTTGTTTCAAGGTTTTATCAATATAACAGCAAGTTCAATTGAATAAATACACAATGAAAGTAACCCATAGTGTGGAAAGTTAAACACGAAAATATAAAAATAGCAATCAGTACTTTTCTTCGAAGATTACAGTTACCCCATAAACTGCTCTGTTTCTTGATTTTCACAAACACTCTGTCCTAGAAATAGTAATCTTGAGGAAATAGCTAGGACTTTGAAGCGGGTTTGAATCCTTAAAGGGTTTATCAATTCCCCCAAGATTATAGGTACATCTTGTCAGCGAGTACCAAGTAGCAAAAACATAGGGGTCCAGGGTTTCCTTTCGATTACCTCCAACTATCTAACAATTGATTACTTATGGATAAAAAGCTGTTCTATAGAAGGTATAAGTTTTTCTGACAGAAACGTTGTTTTAGAAGAAAATAATCGAAAAAACTAAAGAGTATTTAACAACTAACCAACATATTGTTTCTACTTCATCACCGCCCAGATGAATATAATCATCTAAAAATAATTGAAAAACTTCGTTAAATAAATTTTCTAAAAGCTCGTATGTTTTATTTGAAGCTGGATTAAGTGGGCCGTAATATGCAAGATTTTTATAATCATATTGACATTGTGACATAATTTCTGGATGAGAAAGTGACAAACTTCGAGTATGACCTATGGGAGTTTACAGAAGCAAAACAAGAAAACAAAACTATTAACTAATAAATTCTGATGAGTGAAAAGTCATATAAATTAACTTCATTTATAACAAATACCATCTAATATGACATTCAAACAGTTGTACTGACCGAATTATGTACGGTATACTGAAAGAGATAGAAGTTAGTTGATTCACAAAAGTTTAACACATTAAGTTAATGATATTTTCAAAAATCATCGAATTAAATATATTTAATTTGAACACCAAATATTAGAACAAGTTGAGATAAAAACTGTTTTAGAGGATAAGTCAACTAACAGTTCACAAAAAAGAACAAGAGCTCTAATTATGGCAAGTTTTTAAATATTCATTGCAGTTATTTTTACAGATACATCTTGCAGACTATCAAATGAAAATAAGCTTTTCAAAAAAGAAAAGACTAAACTGATTGGAAACTTATTAAAATCTAGCTGGAGATATTCTCGTGAAGTGATGCGCCAATATCAAAAATAAGGAAAACGAATACCCAAATTATAAATCCGAGGCTTTCAGTTTTCCCGCTGTTGATACTGTTATAGCTTAGTGAAGATTAAATTACGGGTAACTTCTAAGAATTATTAATGCACTAATATTATATATATATATATATATATATTCTTATTGTGCGTCACAAGACAAGCCCTCACATGGAATCCTGAAGGCCAAAGGAAAAGAGGAAGACCAAAGAACACATTATGCCGGGAATGGAGATAGATATGAGAAAAATGAACAAGGATTGGATGGAACTAGAAAAGAAGGCCCAGGACAGAGTGGGTTGGAGAATGCTGGTCTGCGGCCTATGCTCGATTAGGAGTAACAGGCGTAAGTAAGTAAGTAAGTAAGTAAGTAAGTAAGTAAGTAAGTAAGTAAGTAAGTAAGTAAGTAAGTAAGTAAGTAAGTAAGTAAGTAAGTAAGTAAGTAAGTAAGTAAGTAAGTAAGTAAGTAAGTAAGTAAGTAAGTAAGTAAGTAAGTAAGTAAGTAAGTAAGTAAGTAAGTAAGTAAGTAAGTAAGTAAGTAAGTAAGTAAGTAAGTAAGTAAGTAAGTAAGTAAGTAAGTAAGTAAGTAAGTAAGTAAGTAAGTAAGTAAGTAAGTAAGTAAGTAAGTAAGTAAGTAAGTAAGTAAGTAAGTAAGTAAGTAAGTAAGTAAGTAAGTAAGTAAGTAAGTAAGTAAGTAAGTAAGTAAGTAAGTAAGTAAGTAAGTAAGTAAGTAAGTAAGTAAGTAAGTAAGTAAGTAAGTAAGTAAGTAAGTAAGTAAGTAAGTAAGTAAGTAAGTAAGTAAGTAAGTAAGTAAGTAAGTAAGTAAGTAAGTAAGTAAGTAAGTAAGTAAGTAAGTAAGTAAGTAAGTAAGTAAGTAAGTAAGTAAGTAAGTAAGTAAGTAAGTAAGTAAGTAAGTAAGTAAGTAAGTAAGTAAGTAAGTAAGTAAGTAAGTAAGTAAGTAAGTAAGTAAGTAAGTAAGTAAGTAAGTAAGTAAGTAAGTAAGTAAGTAAGTAAGTAAGTAAGTAAGTAAGTAAGTAAGTAAGTAAGTAAGTAAGTAAGTAAGTAAGTAAGTAAGTAAGTAAGTAAGTAAGTAAGTAAGTAAGTAAGTAAGTAAGTAAGTAAGTAAGTAAGTAAGTAAGTAAGTAAGTAAGTAAGTAAGTAAGTAAGTAAGTAAGTAAGTAAGTAAGTAAGTAAGTAAGTAAGTAAGTAAGTAAGTAAGTAAGTAAGTAAGTAAGTAAGTAAGTAAGTAAGTAAGTAAGTAAGTAAGTAAGTAAGTAAGTAAGTAAGTAAGTAAGTAAGTAAGTAAGTAAGTAAGTAAGTAAGTAAGTAAGTAAGTAAGTAAGTAAGTAAGTAAGTAAGTAAGTAAGTAAGTAAGTAAGTAAGTAAGTAAGTAAGTAAGTAAGTAAGTAAGTAAGTAAGTAAGTAAGTAAGTAAGTAAGTAAGTAAGTAAGTAAGTAAGTAAGTAAGTAAGTAAGTAAGTAAGTAAGTAAGTAAGTAAGTAAGTAAGTAAGTAAGTAAGTAAGTAAGTAAGTAAGTAAGTAAGTAAGTAAGTAAGTAAGTAAGTAAGTAAGTAAGTAAGTAAGTAAGTAAGTAAGTAAGTAAGTAAGTAAGTAAGTAAGTAAGTAAGTAAGTAAGTAAGTAAGTAAGTAAGTAAGTAAGTAAGTAAGTAAGTAAGTAAGTAAGTAAGTAAGTAAGTAAGTAAGTAAGTAAGTAAGTAAGTAAGTAAGTAAGTAAGTAAGTAAGTAAGTAAGTAAGTAAGTAAGTAAGTAAGTAAGTAAGTAAGTAAGTAAGTAAGTAAGTAAGTAAGTAAGTAAGTAAGTAAGTAAGTAAGTAAGTAAGTAAGTAAGTAAGTAAGTAAGTAAGTAAGTAAGCAAGTAAGTAAGTAAGTAAGTAAGTAAGTAAGTAAGTAAGTAAGTAAGTAAGTAAGTAAGCAAGTAAGTAAGTAAGTAAGTAAGTAAGTAAAATATTCTTATTGTATAACTATTCAGTAACTAGATTATGTATATCTATATTCCTCTTATTATAAGCTTTATTTTGATCTATTTTTGAACAATTTATTTCTAAATTATGTTCAGTTTATTGATTACAGTCTCCCACGTTCATAGCCACTACTTGGCTTGATCTTATATAAATGTTATTTCCTATTTTATGGTATGATGCGGTCTGTTTGGCTGGTATATAAACCAATCATGTTGAAATAAATTGTCCGCATAGTTGAGGCTGTTATTGGCGTTATGGACCCAACTGGACGGGCTAGGCGAACATAGAACCAATGAGGACACTAGGCTGCTCATACCGATAGAACTTCATTTATTTAGCACAGTACTAAGATTTTATGGGTCGTAATTCGATTAGCGAATAAATCACGTCATAACTAACCGGGCCTAAAGTCACAACAGATACAAAAAGCAGGAATTGATAAATTTTTATAAGCATTTGTGCAGATCATGAGCAGATTGTCTGCATATGACCTAGATTGTTTGACGCAATGCATAAACTCGTAGCAATAATACAAATAATTTTTATCATGAGATGATACAAGATGTAGTGCGAAATTTTCAAGTCGACCTAATTTGCCATTAATACTCAATAATGAATAAACACAAGCCAAGTAATGATGAAAACTAAGATACTCGGACCACACATGGCGTCATAATTGCAAACTACCTGACAAATTTAAACTAATTACATTTTAAATTTTGATGAAGCGATGACATTGAGTTAACTTTAATCACTGATATTGGTGAATTAATACCTCGCATTCAACATCATACAATATAGTAGTCAGGACCTTTTACTGTGATACTGAAAAATTCATCTTAAAGCCAGTTACTAGCGGAAACACACTTATTACTTAGCTATGTGATTTTGCAGAGAATTAATTGATTAGAATTGCAAACAAGGGAGGAGGTAATAAAGATTTATTCAAAAATCAATGGTTTACTCATTTGATAATCAAATAACTCATTAAAAAACTACAAAACGTAAATCGATTAACTCTGCATACACTGAATTAATCAAATTCTTTTATTAGTATATTCAAAGTGAAAATGTGTATTTGTTTGTCCATGTGATTAAAAAGTATTTAGGAAACCAGCGCTCTGCTTATCTACTTCAATTCTTAATGTTACCATGATCGCATAGTACAGAACAACAAATTTGACGCACTTTCTCATTGGAAATGACAGTTCCCTTGAGTGATTTCATCTTTTTTTCAAACAGAAGTGTCAGATGTAACTCCACCTGCACACTTCTACGGTTACGGCCGGTCCAAACCCTGGACAGAGGAGAATGTTTGCGTATGAAGTTACCAGCTCCATCCCGTAGAAAATAATTCTAACTACCTAGACTCCATTTTGACACTTGAGAGTTTTTCATTTAGAATACATATGAGATCACATGATGAAAGTCAAGATTCTTTGGCAATCTCGATCCCGATGTCCGTTCTAACAATCACAGTACAAATTAAGACAATCAGGTTGAATGTTTGCATAATGTAAGAGACCGACAGGACCAGGGAGATCTGGAAATAAGAAGATACAACCTGGCGATGCTCAGAATAATTGAAACACGTACGTAAGCTGGACAGAAAAGATTAACTAAGCGAGAGGCTCTATTCTAATCGGGTCATAAAGAAAATGCATCGCACAAACAAAGAGTTGCATTGATGATTTTCAAAAAAGCATAAAACCCACTTATAGGATAGGAATTTCATATATTCAACACCAACAAACCATACTTCAAAACGAAGAACGCAGGGATTGAATGTCATATAACAGCTAAGGTGATGAAAATTAGTTTATGAGAAGCTTAAGTCGATCGTAAAAAAGTAACCACGAAGCCACCTGACGATTGTCATAAGAGATATAAACGGGGATGTCAGTATGGATAGCGACGGGTATGAAGATGTCATAAAACGATATGGAATAAGAGAAAGCAACCAGAGTAGTGAGGGACTTGCAAATCCATGTACTTTCAACGACATGGTTATAGGTGGCACCAATTCCGTACAAACGCATACATAAAGCTTCCTTGCTTTCACTGTACCGCACAACAGAGGACTAGATCCATTACATCTCAATCAACAGCAAGATCATAAGGTCCATCAAACACATAAGAGTACAGAGGGGAGCTGATCTGAGGAGTTTCACATCCCAATCTGATAATCGTCCAGCTAGAACTGAGGTTGAAGCACCATTGGACAGTTGAACAAGTTGCATTCGAGATGCTAACAAACTCGTGAATCTCAGGATACATCTCAGCGACAATTTCAGACCTTACAACATCTAATGGAAGAAAAGGAAAACAATATGGAGAACAACTGGAAAGTGATTAAAGAAGCAATAACTTCAACATGTCAGGAGGTGCTGGGCCATAAAAGCACCAGAATAAGGAGTGGAGCTCAATAGACAGTTGGGCAGAGTTCAATTCGAAGAATTATATAACCAATATACAGGAATTAAAATTCAACTCCACTGCACAAGCCACTGGTTATTTGGACGCAGTAGTTAAGTGAATAACACGATGGCGTTTTGAGCAAACAGTACTGGTATTGATTTCGATTCTTCATAAGATCACCAACACTGCGACGCAGGTAAAACCCTAGATGGTGAGTCCGTTATATGAACAAATACATAAATTGGATTACATTGTTTGCCACTACCTGTCCATTTTATGTAAAATGTAAACATTAAGTTTTGGGGAGTATTTACAAATCTATTAAATCAAGCTAAATTATATTAAACTAGCTCTTTTATCCCACACACAGCAACAAATTCATGTGAAGATAGGCAGTGTAGCACTAACCTCTGCAGCACTAGGCTTCAACACACACATGGGTAAAGGCAAGATCCTGTAATGCAAAACAGAGAGCACCACCACAAACACTTGATGGGACAGCTTTAGAAGAGATGTAAATTTCTACGTAGGTGGCTAGCAGAATTGATAAGTAAGGATCTGATGCAGATGTAAAGGCAAGGATTGACAAAGCAGTGGTAACATTCCTACAACTGAAGAGTATATGGAACTCTGAACAACTGTCAGCCAACACCAAAGCTAGAATCTTCAATACTAACATCAAGACAGTTCTATTGTATGAAGCTGAAACTTGGAGAACTACTACAACCATCATCAAAAAGTACAAGTAGTTATAAACAGCTGTATATGCAAGAAACTCAATGTCCGTTGTCCGGATGCCATCAGGAACAACCTACAGTGACAGCGAATGTTTAGAAGTCTTTTTATCATGGAAAAAGGTAAAGTCCTGAAGGTCGTCTAAATACTGATTTACTAATCTATATTAAGAACTAAATATAAAAGAACCACAATTAAATGATGATAACAACAGCAGCGAATCGCTTGTAATTTTATAATACGAATATAAAGTGAATGTAATCAATCAAGGAATCTTTAACTCCATTACTTGATGAGTAGCAAGCTCTTTAAGGACAAGCTAAAGTTATTGCTACATTGTGTAAGGGTTTAATTTGCTGACTGAATGCATCATAATACAAAAAAGGCTGAAAAATGAAAACCAGATACACTGAAAAATAATCAGCCGTGTTTCGAAAAACTCAAAATATTAAGGCTAGAAAATGAAGTTCCGTTGCTTGATATTGAAAATATGTGTATTTATCTATGTGTTTAAAATTGAAAAAGTGCGAACATTACTGTATAACAACATCTTAGAACACCAGAAGCTAAAATTTAAGGTAAGTAAAACAAGAACATGTAATTTAGCCCATCTGGGTGGTGGTAACAATAAGGAAGTTTTGAAAACCATGTTATTTCAAGTAAGTGTATGGAGACTTAGTATATAAGTTAATAATAAAATGCGTGGTATAACATATGTATCTAAAAAAATAACAATACCTGGTATATCGAATTCGGGAATAACACGAATGCCTCGAAATCGGGCAAACTCCACAATTTCTTTGATATCATTCGATGTATAAACTAAATCTTCTCGATAAGCACCCTGGAAATACCCAAAACAGATATACAAACACGTGTACATGGCAATAAATTATGAGGACAATAAAAAAAGTTACATGAATAAGGAAAAAACTGAAGCTAAAGCGCAATTATTTAAAATTAACAAACGGTAAATATAAACTTCACTAACCGATTTTTTTAATTTAAAGATAATATTTTAGCCTAAAGAAATTACATGTATGCTGCTGTGAAAAAAGGAGCTACGGTGAATGACCAATGGACAACAGTCAAACAAATCATGAGATGTAATACTAATTAACGCTAACAGACACGTACTTTTTAACAATACCAAAAAAACGAGGATCCAAGCAATTGAAATTTTGAAAACTGGCCATGGTAAGACTGAGAAAACCAATGATTTGTGAGATGATAATACACGCAGCAGTCCATTCGACATAAGAACAGTAGGGTGAGGAGCAAACTTCGCCCACTAGGTTTAAAACCTTATCAGTGATATTTTAGAAATCAATTGTGGATAAATACTGATAGCCACATATTCTCCTCAAAAGCGAATCGTTGCTCAGTCACAAAACAAGATTAAAAGGGGAGAAGAATGATCGTAAGGAGAGACTGGAACGATGTTTTTCAAGAATAAAGTTATATACTATATAAGAATTGCGTTATATTACGAAATAATTGAGGTTGAAAATGTAGATGGTTGGATGTCGATTTCGTGGTCCAAGGTATTTCGCCCTCTGTAAGACACGAAGGTCCAGAATTTTTGTCCCGCATGAGACCGGTCAGTGAACATCACGAAGTAGTCTCGTAATAGATGAAACATCTATCTAGTTCTACCTAATTTTCAATGACACATTATCCGATAGTCTAACGAACGAAGACTTGTGCAAGGGTTAATCAATTATATTATACAAAATTACACACTGCATTTGTAAAATGAGTAAACAATACAATTAATACACTATTCGCATATCTTTGAGTTATCTCTTACAAACCCCATCGTTCTTCCATTTCTGTTGTCACATTGACTGCTCTGTTTTTCTTTTCTTTGCATTTTCCTTTTCTATCGGTAAGAATTCTACTTAAAATTCCTGCTACTACTGTCCATATAAATGGCACACACCACAATTGCACCCAGTAATGAAAATTACCCAACAGTTATAAAAGACCCATTTTACCTATTTGATAATTAATTATATATATAAAAGCATATACATTTCTCTAGTTGCAAAAAACTTATCATTCACAAACAAAACATACTTTAGCCGAAAGTTCAGGATATACATCACTTTGATATGGAAATGACTGATCATCCACAATATGCCAATGTAAAACATTTAATTTATTATAACTCATAGCCTCCTAAAGAAGATAGAAAATATATCCACAATCAAAATATTAACGAAATATATACAAAATATAAATATGTAATTGAATAAGTTATCAGGCTGGTATCTTAACACTGATTACAAACATAACACAATGAGAGAGAAAAATAGACTAAGTAGAAAGGGTTACTTTTACACCATGAATGTTGTTTTGGATTAATCATTTTATTAGACATATGGTCAATTTTTTAGAGTCACAAGCATATTTTGGATAGATTTCGGTTAGGTTGATTCATGTGAACTCCTATGGCTTTTACTTCCTTTAGAAGGCGAAATATTAAAGCATAAATCAAACTAATTAGAATTCGATAGGTAGATTTAAAAACTATTTTCCCACCAATTTGGTATTCAGTATCGATTAGACGTAAAAAATGAAGTTTCTTAATGCAATTGTCTGTCATTTCTCTAAACATAAAACTATGATGTTTTAAGATGGAGGACATGCTATATTTTATTGGGATTACAAAAGGAATGGGATAAAATACATTAAAAACCGGTAAAAAAAATATGTTAGTAAATATCAGTTTACAATTATATGATGACATTTCATTAAAATTAAACCTACAGTTCAACACACAATTTCAAATTAATTTTGGTCGCCACTGTTGACCAAATTCAAAACATCTCAACCACGAGAGATGCAAAAAAATATTCCTTACGCCTTTACCCTTTGTGGAAGAGCACAGGTTGCCCACAGGCATTCTCCATCCAACTCTGTCCTTCGCTCTCCTTTCCAACCGTTTCCAATTCCTATTCATTCTCTTGATATTTGCCTCCGATTCCCGACGCAATGTGTTCTTTGATCTGTCCTTTTTCCTTTTGCTTTCAAGATTCCACACCTAAGGGCTTGCCTCGTGACACAGATTGATGATTTCCGTAATGTATATACTATCAACATCCAGTGTCTTTTCCAAAGTTCCTCTTCAGCTGAAAGTTGGTTTGTTCCCTCCCACAGTACGCTGTTGCTGATGGCATCCGGACAACGGACATTGAGTTTCTTGCATATACAGCTGTTTATAACTACTTGTACTTTTTGATGATGGTTGTAGTAGTTCTCCAAGTTTCAGCTTCATACAATAGAACTGTCTTGATGTTAGTATTGAAGATTCTAGCTTTGGTGTTGGCTGACAGTTGTTTAGAGTTCCATATACTCTTCAGTTGTAGGAATGTTACCACTGCTTTGTCAATCCTTGCCTTTACATCTGCATAAGATCCTCCTAATGCAGATGTAAATTTATACTTGAAGGTAAATGTTCTATAATACTATTGAAAAAAAAAACTTTTTGATCTTTGGGAAAAGTAACCGATGTCATATTTCTCGGTTATCAGTAATTCACAATATCATACCAGTAGAATGGTGCATCTTTCGCTTAACCAATATATTATTAACATATTGTACATTTGAAACGAACATATATTTATATTAAAAGATTAATAAATATTATGGAGTAAATGGATAGTTGTAAAAAGTCAAAGTTTATAGTATATTAAACAAAAAGTGACTAGGGAAATACATAATTTATTTCAGTGTAACAAGTCAATCAAAAATAAGCAAACTTTACATGAACATTTTGAATAGATAAGATACTGTCAAGTTGTATTTTGTTTTAGTCAGAAGAAACAATAAATAAAAATACAGTTGATGTCAAGCATTTATTTCAGTGACATTATAACTAGAAATGGGAACATCTGAATCTTTCAGAAATCAATCGATTTAAGCAGACAATAAAATGTTCAACGTTTTGAAATGCAAAGTATAAACTCTTACTTACGTTCATTTAACCTTTGCAATCCCGCTCATTTAAAAATCTTCATGAACCTTAGTGAATAGAATACTTTTAATGTGAAGATTAGAGATATCGATACCGTATAAACTGAAGCGGTAATATCGGTTTTGAACACACGAACTAGTGATTGAGAATTAGACACATAAACTTCTAAAATACAGATCTAGTAAACTAACTCATTCGATTTGGAAGGCACGTAGCATTTGATAAATTGCAAAAAATTCATTAAATTCTACAGTTGATGTAATTCTTTAACATTGGAGTTTGTGAAGATTATCAAATTCTATAATTAAACATCCAATGAAAACCAATAAGCACTGTTTCATGCTATTGTGGAGACCCTCATCAGTGTGCACTCACGGCCTCTCGTACACCAATGTTCAGACCTTTAAACCTCCCGATGAGCGCTCGCTCAACCTTAACACCACTGTGGTAGCAAAAAATTTTGTACATGCCTCAATCAAATTGATTCCAAATACTGCACGAATATATTTGGTACACAATAAAATTCCTGTTTAAGAAAGAATTTTGTCCTTTTTCAATCCCTGATATATGACAGATTAAGTTACTGCTACACGGAATTTAGGTTCCCAATAGTTGTAATAGATATTGTATTATTTAGTAAGCTATGTTTACAGCAGAAGATGATGCTGAATAAAAGTATAAAAACAAACTTACCAAGTTCAGTAAAATAACAGATTTGCTTATAAAATGCCTAGAAGTGTCAATCATTAATCCACGATGTTTGAAACGAGGGTAATCGACAATGTACGTTTGATTAACAAAAACCTGTAGGAAGGGAAATAGTAATGAAAGGAAATTAGAAAAAAATTTCACAACTTGAAGGTAAAAGCAGGATGACCGTAAATGAATACTGACTAAAGATCGAATAGCACTGCAAACTAGAGACTGCAACGATTCACATATTGACCGTTCGTCAGATTTCAGAACACATACGGCATCACAATTAAGATCTCCAGTTATCATAGTGAGCATGTTGCTTTCAAACAACTAAGAAGGAATCGAGCGGTAAACCTACCCACAATCAATAAGGTGATGTTTTGAGACTATTATTTAGTGCTATCGATAGTTTCTGTCTCACTCCCAATTTAGTTGAAACTAAACGTTCGATGTTTCATATCAGAAATTTTAGAAATGTGTTATTTATTCCTACTGTAATTTACCCCTGTTACCAGTGCAGAAACTAAGTATAAACAGTAATACACTTTTTCTCAATGAACTGCTTCTTTTTACATCTAAAATTCACAGTGAGCAAAGCCTGAATCTAGGTTATGAAAATTTGGTCGTCTAGTAGTTACTGTTGTTTAATTTCTTCATAGACATACTGACGGAAATAACATTCTCGTTGACTAAATTTTTAGGAATTGATCTTCCAGGAGGTCAACTAATCGACTTGGTATACGCAGATGACATAGTCATGTTTAGTGAAAACGCTGATAGAATGCAGTCTTTAAGCAGCACTGAGCAACAATACCAGGATGTTTGGAATGCGTTTCTCCTCCTCTAAATTCAAGTTATTGCCTGTGTCAACACCTAAACTAAGGATAGGGAGTGAAGTAGTCGAACGCGTTGACAACTTCACTTATCTTGGAAGTCTGATCAGCCCTAATGGGTTAATGTCTGACAAAATCTCTACACGAATTCAAAAAGCTCGTTTGGCTTTTACCAACTTACGTCACCTATGGCGAAGGCGAGATATCCGTCTATCAATTAAAGGACCAGTGTATTGTGTAGTAATTCGTTCTATTCTACTTTACGGCTGCGAAACGTGATCATTAAGAGTAGAAGATACTCGTAAGCTACTAGTATTTGATCACAGATGCCTTAGAAATATTTCTGGCGTCTGCTGAGATCACCGGGTAAGTAATAGCGAGGTTAGACGCAGGGTATAAGGGAATAATGGTAAATCAGTTGGTGAGGTTGTGAATTTTCATCAACTGAGATGGTTGGGCCACGTGCTACGCATGCCTGAACACCGATTACCACGACGCGCAATGCTGACTAGTGTATGGGATGGTTGGAAGAAAGTTAGTGGCGGTCGAATCAAAACGTGGCATCAGTGCTTGAAGTCACTAACTTCTAGTCTGAGCCATGTTGGGAGATGCAGACTACTTGGTTGGGGTCCGCGTGACTATCGTAACCAATGGTGGGAGACTGTGTGACATGACTCAGAATCGATCACAATGGCGTAAGTGTATACACTTTGTCTTCCCTTAAACTATGAGATTAAAATCGTATCATATCTTTCTTTTTACGAACTAATTCTTTCTTCCAATACTATATCCTTATATGCAATCTTACTTTTATATATTACCACCATTGAATTAACTACTTCTATATATTCGGTGTTCACCTTGTTGTGCTAATGAGGTATGACAACTTGGACCGATGCATATATGTGCCTGGTCCTACGTTGTAGCTGATTGACTGACTGAACCCCAGCTCTAAATTATACAGATCTGAATAAACTATCTAAGAATTATAAACGTTTTAAAAATGTATAGAAAGAACTTTAAAATACATACCTATTCTTTAACTACTTGATAATTTAATCAATACACTTTTAAAAACAATTTTGGTCAAAATCCCCAGCCAATAATAATGCACAGATTAGATTTGTGTACACACTATGTTTGTAAACGGTGAAACTATAGTCGCAACTATCGGCAGTAAACAAATAATAGAATTTCATTGAGGCCATGTATAACATTGTTAAATTAATCATTCAAGCTTACCCTTTTTTACTATCATTTCATAAACCCATACTATTTACGTATAGCAGATTTCCTATTTGTTTAGACGAATCGAAACAATATAAACTCGTCATTTAAAAATTAGTAAATAATGAAAGCAAAATGAAGAATAAAATGAAGTGGATTCAACCACTATACTTACATGAGATTGATCTTTCGTAGTCCACATTAATTGACTAAGTGTTTCTAAACCTCTTAAAGCCCCCCATGTTTCATTAGAAATAATAAAAATGCCATTTTCCGTAACACCCAGGATATCTGAAATTATAAGAAAAGATAAGAGCATGATTCATAGATATTTAATAGAAAGACCAGCTTCATCTCATATTTTTATTAATGAATGATAGCTTTGATGTTTGAAAATAACGGCGATAGCACTTTGCTAATTCATATAACCGAACTGACCTTAAGTGTTACATAATTGCCTGTTTTCACAATTCATTTGTGAATATTTACACTAACTCCCGACGTCCATTATTCCTGCTATATATATATATATATATATATATATATATGTGTCAGTGTTGTATGTCGGTCACCCGATATATTGAGTTCTTATTAGATCCAGTTTGCATTAGACGGGATTTCAGCAGTTCGTAATTAGAAATTATCGTAAACCGATAGCAAAAGTGGACAGTTTTTGATGGTAGTAAAATGTTATTGTCCTCACTCTATGAATTACAGATGTTGATCACAATTGATTAGCTAGAGAGCATTGTTGATCGACCTCACATACTTACGCCTGTTACTCCTAATGGAGCATAGGCCGCAGACCAGCATTCTCCAACCCACTCTGTCCTAAGCCTTCCTTTCTAATTCCATCCAATTCTTGTTCATTTTTCTCATGTCTATCTCCATTTCCCGGCGTAATGTGTTCTTTGGACTTCCTCTTTTCCTTTGACCTTCAGGATTCCATGTGAGGGCTCGTCTTGTGACGCAGTTAGGTGCTTACCTCAGTGTGTGTCCTATCCACTTTCAGCGCTTCTTCCTAATTTCTTCCTCTGCTGGGATCTGGTTTGTTCTCTCCCACAGTTGGTTGTTGCTAATAGTGTCCGGCCAACCGATCCGAAGGAATTTGCGTAGACAACTGTTAATAAACACCGGTATCTTCTGGATGATGGCGTTCGTAGTTCTCCAGGTTTCCGCCCCATACAGTAGAACTGTCTTGACATTTGCATTGAAAATCCTGACCTTGGTGTTGGTTGACAGTTGCTTTGAGTTCCAGATGTTCTTCAGTTGTAAATATGCTGCTCTTGCTTTACCAATCCGCACTTTCACATCTGCATTAGACCCACCATGATAATCAATGATGCTGCCCAAATATGTAAAGATTTTTACATCTTCCAAATCTTCTCCGTCAGTTGTGATTGGATTGGTGCATGCTGTGTTGTATCGGAGAATCCTGCTTTTCCCTTTGTGTATATTGAGACTTACTGCTGCTGAGGCTGCTGCTACACTGGTCGTTTTATCCTGCATTTGTTGTTGCGATTGCGATAGGAGGGCCAGATCATCTGCGAAGTCTAGACCGTCCAGCTGCATCCTAGATGTCCACTGTATCCCGCGTTTCCCTTCAGATGTTGACGTCTTCATGATCCAGTCGATCACCAGGAGAAAGAGAAAGGGTGAGAGTAAGCAACCTTGCCTGACACCGGTCTTTACCTCGAACGAGTCTGTCAATTGTCCTCCATGCACAATTTTGCAGTTTAATCCATCATAGGAATTCCGTATGATATTGACTATCTTCTGAGGCACGCCGTAGTATCGAAGAAGCTTCCATAGTGTTGTTCTGTCCACGCTATCAAATGCTTTTTCGTAGTCAATGAAGTTGATGTAGAGTGATGAATTCCATTCAATTGATTGTTCCACAATGATTCGTAGAGTTGCGATTTGGTCTGTACACCACCGATCCTTACGGAATCCTGCCTGTTGGTCTCGAAGTTGGGCGTCTACGGAGTCCTTCATTATGTTTAACAATACCCTGTTGAAGACTTTCCCCGGTATTGAGAGAAGAGTGATGTCCCTGTAGTTATCACAGTTGCTGAGATTGCTTTTCTTTGGTATTTTGATCAGAAGTCCTTCTTTCCAGTCTGTTGGTACTTGTTCCTCATCCCAAATCTTGTTGAAGAGAATGTGGAGTATCCTTGCAGTTGCTGCTACGTCTGCTTTCAGTGACTCTGCTGGAATGTTGTCTTGGCCTGCTGCTCTGCCACTCTTGATTTGTCTGATGGCCATGCTGATTTCTTCAATTGTTGGTGGGCCAACATTGATTGGGAGGTCCGTGGATGTTGCTTCGATGTTGGGTGGGTTCAGTGGAGCTGGTCGATTCAAGAGTTCTTCGAAGTGTTCTACACACCTGTTTCGTTGTTCTTCAATGTTGGTGATTACCTTGCCTTCCTTCCTTTTCACTGGTCGTTCTGATTTGCGGCGATTTCCAGAGAGTTTCTTTGTCGTGTCATACAGTTGTCTCATGTTTCCTTCTCTTGCAGCCTTTTCCGCCGTCGTTGCTGAATCTTCCACATATTTACGTTTGTCAGTTCTGATGTTCCTCTTCACTTGCTTTTTTACTTCTGTGTATTCAGCTTGTGCCTTGGCTTTTTCTGCTCTCGTTCGGCTGGTATTGATTGCTGCCTTCTTGTTCCACCTTTCTTGAATTTTATCCAGTGTATCAACAGTGATCCATTCCTTGTGATGGTGCTTCTTGTGGCCCAGAACCTCATGACATGTTGAAGTGATTGCTTCTTTGATCCCCTTCCAGTTGCTCTCCATAGTAGTTCCTTCTCCATTGAGTAGATTAGGAAAGGCCTGGAACTTATTGCTGAGGATTATCTTGAATTCGTTGAGTTTGTCAGTATCCCGAAGAAAGGCCGTATTGAACTTTTGTGATATTGTCCGCCCCGTTGTCCAGTACTTCTTGAGTTTCAATTTCATCTTGGCGACCAGCAAGTGATGATCTGGTGCTATATCAGCTCCTCTCTTGATTTTCACATCCTCCATCGTCATCCTGAACTTTTTGTTGATGCAGATATGGTCGATTCGGCTTTGCGTGGTGTGATCCGGTGAAGTCCATGTGGTTTTGTGTGTGCGTTTGTGTGGGAATATAGTTCCGCCTATGACCAGTTTATTGAAGGCACATGGGTTTGCAAATCTCTCACCATTTTCGTTCCTTTCTCCCAGTCCGTGTCGTCCCATGATGTTTTCATATCCGGTTTTGTCCATTCCAACCTTGGCATTTAAATCTCCCATCAGAATGGTCAGATCCTTTGTTGGGCACTTCTCGATGATTGACTGCAGCCTATCGTAGGATTGATCTTTAACGTCTTCATTGTGGTCGTTGGTAGGTGCATAGCATTGGATGACGTCTATTGAAATGCCCTCTTTCTTTGTTTTGAAGGAGGCTTTGATGATCCTTGGTCCATGAGATTCCCATCCTATAAGTGTATTTTGTGCTTGTTTGGACAGCATTAATGCAACTCCTTGTGTATGTGGGGCATTTTCTTCTTCATGGGCGGAGTATAGCAGAAGCTCCCCTGAAGCTAGTTGTTGTTGTTGTTCAACTTTCGTACAATGTGTTTCACTGATCCCAAGCACCTTTAGATTGTACCTTCTCATTTCTGCAGCAATTTGGAAGACTCCCGGTCTCCCACATTGTACGAGCATTCCATGTACCTAAATAAATGGTTGCTCTGGTTGTTAGAAGGGGCATCGGCCTCGTGACTTTCGAAGGAACTCGGCTTCCACCGTGAGGCGTCACAGTTCTTCTAAATGAAGACCTGACTCCCAGGGCAGAGTTTAAATGGTTTGAATAAATTTTTCTGGTTAGCGTTATTTTAGCGAGTTAGTTTTCTACGGGATGAAGACGCTAACCCCATGCCCAACCTTCCTTCTTTATCCGGACTTGGGACCGGCAGTAGCCCCCGGAGGGACTACAGGTGGAAATTTTTCAATTTTCAGTAGTTTTTTTATATGAGTGATTATAATGCATTAATGACAATACATTATGATATATAGATATACAGATAACTCACAGGATTCATCCATATTTACATGTGGCAATTTCGAATCGGGATTTATCACATGCAACAAAGCAGAATTTTGAATTCCTCTACGCCGTATACTGTGTTCAGATAATTTGTACTTGCGAATTAAATGAGACATTTGTTCAGATATAAAATTATGAGATATATCATTTGAAGTTTTTAAATTAGTATCATGGGAGTTATTATTAGTACTACTTGAATAATGACGATTTGCTCGGAATGATGATGAACTTTTTTTCCAACTACTGTCGCGAAAATCCTGATTTCTCTTTACAGGAGAATTTTCACAAGTCGACTGATAATTATCAGAAAAATGACTGAATAAGCTCTTTTCATTATGCTGCCAAACTTTTGGGTACACAGAAAAACCAAGCTTATTTCGTATCATATACGTATATCGATTTACAGCTGACTAGAAAGAGAAAAGAGATTGATGTACTGATGTGCATTCATCATTCAACAGTAACAAAACCTGTAGGCAATATAAAATGATAATTATTAGATAATGGGTTCATGGTACATGTCATACATGGTCATAATTTGACGTTTATATCAGTTAAAAAGGTTAATACAGTATTAAACAAATTAATTCATCCTATTTTCATTGAAATCAGACTTTATTATTTAGAGCTTACAACAAATTCACTGCAAACTCAACAATGTTTAGAGTTAAATCAATAGTAAACAACTTGTCAGTGCATGCAATGTAAAGGAGTTTCTAAATACTTAAATAACAGTTGCTCGGTTTTCTACGCGGCTTCCAACACTTGTTATGCTGACTTGAGATTATTATAAAAAGTTTAGAACTATTTGATTTCATGTTTCTTACTAATATACATTAGAGAGCGAAGATAAACAGATACCTAGAAGAATCCGAAACTAATAAATAATGGTTTATTTTTATTTTTTAAAGAATTTCTCAGCAATATACATCCACAATAGGATATGAAATCGAATTGGGGGCCTTTGGGCCTCGTAAGAAGTATGTCATCATTGGGCAATTGAGTTAGAACCCATTGGTTCATTTTTCAAAAATTCTATCAACTTTTTTTGTCGATTAATTTTGAAACTCTGTGTTGTTAAAAAACCAAATCACGTTAAACGCTTATACGGTGTTCGTAATACATTTGTTTACTTTTTGAATTACATGTATCATATTTCCCTAGTTATAATAGTTTTCATTGCATTTTCTTATTTGATACTTCACCACTGTTGACAAAAATCATTTCAAGCTTTCGGGGTTTCCACTGGTTGGTTTTTATTTGTTTGGCTGAGGAAAGGTACAATCTCTTGGACTAATGTCGAACCGTATCAAACCTTACGTGTATCTGTCAGTCCATTCTGATTCGCCACCAAAGGTCAAACAAAATAGAAGCCGGTTGCAATCCCACTGTAGCTTTCTTTTGCACTCCTCATAAAGTAAGATGATCATCCCTTAAATGAAAGTCTTTTAGCTATATTTTAAACCAAAATGTATCTCTTATTGGATACCGCTCTCATTCATTTATCTAAAAATGGTACCAAACCAAGTTCAGCTGTAATCATAGACAATGAAATCAAAAAACATTTATGGAGCCAAAGTCTTTCACTGAATCATTATTTTTATTAATTCAAATTTTCGTAAACGTTTTGAGTAAAAAAGAAGACGGAAAATTCAGATGAACCGTTAATATTACAACCTGGTACCTACGATTACCATTTTTCAAACACTGAGGCCCTAAAATGATTTATGACATTAACTCTAATATTTATCAAATAAACAAACAGTACAAACAAACGATGAAGAGAATAAGATAAAATGTTTAACATATTAGAATGAAACACCCTACTTGTAGAATCTCATTTGAAATTGTATGGAATTCAAAGTGAAACTGTTGCATATCCACATTATAATAACATGAAGATGATGCCCAACTCCATGGTAATGGCCATGGTGATCCAAAGGTTGGATGAGGGGAACGAACAACCGGTATTTTTATACCTGGAAATGACCTATATCGCCATGTATTTTCAAGGATAATATCATTTGGTGATGATAACTGAAATTTCAACAAAAAATGCCTATTTACAAAACGAATGGAACTGAATGACGAAGCTTTCTTTGATAAAACTTATTTGTTAGACACCAACGTAAGTTTCACATTTCTAAAATCATATTATTCCAAACAAATTCGAAATCAGACTGCTCTTCTTGACATCTATTCAGTATTTATCAATATCAAAGACTTTCAATGCATGAAATATTTTGGAGCTGAACGAACGTTTCCAAATGTGGCCAACAAATTGATCGTCCCAAACAGATCGATATTAGCGAATTCGCAACAGCTTGTGTTGCATCTAAATATCAAATCCAGCTATTAATCCACTGAAAGGTATAGATGAGCGATGGCTACAATTGCATGACCCCATGGAAATGGCGAGTGAAGTCGTTTGCGGCTTCGCGAAACGTCCCGCTTATAAGCACTGGGTTTAGAGGCACGTCAGGTTACTCCGAGTAACCACGAGTTTGACGATAAACGTAGATTATTAAGTAATGAAATTATGAAAAGTTTGAGTACGGACAGACAAGCCTGGTGGTCGTAGCGTGCTAGCGAGTTGAAGGAAGCAACTACATTTGGTAACTGCTGAAAGCTCTTTTAACTCATCCCAGTCATTGGCTGCAAGACGTCTGGTGTGAGTGAAACAATTTTTGAAACTGATGAGATGCCAACTAATAACATGTACCGACGTATTAAACGATGGAAAGAGTTCGTCCAGGAACAGTTCGCTGCCTCAGAGACATTAACCAGACTGTTCTATCCTCCCTGGCTAGTATCGATTGATCCACTTAACAGTGACTTGAGACATAATCAGACATGGCTCAGAATAAAAGGCAGTGGCGGTCTTACGGTAACTTTCTTTTACTTTTTGATAAGTGACAGGAACTTCGTTAACTAAAAGGGTCCTTTATAATTGTGTAATTTTAACTGGCCTGCTCCATCCATTATTACCATTTTTCACTCTCGAATAATTTCTATTCATTTTTGTTCTTTGTGGATTATACTTATATTCCTTTCCCTAACTCTTCATAATGTCACTTTTACTGTGTGATGCATATATACTTCAGTGACTTTCTGTACGAATAGTTATGTTTAAATAAACAAATAAAATATAAAATGTAACACTTAGAAAAGAATATTATTATCTAAGATATTACTAAAGTAAATAAAGGCACATTAATAGTAATCTTAATAACAATAGTCAAGATGACCTTATTTCTTATCAAATAAATTTATGAAACTCGTAAAAAAATTGTAGATAGAATATGTTTACCATCAAGTAAGTTTTTCCAGAATTACTGGGACCTTCTTCATTTATTAAAATCACTGGATAGATGTCCAGTTAGTACGTTTCAAAAGATTTTCCATTCTACAGTACTCAAAATACAACATATCAAATAATTTCTGATGCAAGAGTTAACGTGAGCAATAAGATGAACTAAAAACTATTGGTTTTGGTTAATAAAAGGTGCAATCAACTACACAAATATCTCAAAAACTATGTAATTATTATTTATTTTAATAATACAAATCATTAGAATTACCTCTAAGTGCGTAGACGACTGTTGATCTGGAAGTGCTTTAGTGACATCTAAAGAGAAAATGACAAAGAAATAAAGCAATAAAGATATACTATATTCAATGAAATATTTATTCACATACTTAAGAACTCAATTATGTATTCTGGGTAATTTACTGCTGATATGTTAGTTACTTGACCAGAATAAAGTGAAGCACTATTTTAACATGAAATTTACGGATCAAGTTAATTCCTTGATTCACTAAACCACCATACCATGTTTACTATTACTCCGTAACTGCAAAATAAATGTCTTTTATTACATTAAATTTCTTTTCAATAAGTTCGACGTGAAAATATATGAATTTTTATAACTAAAATACGCACAGACCAATACAAAAATATCAAAAACAATTGAAATCTAACTGATATCAATCATTCAAAATTCATAACAGTACAATAAATAATTTGCGAGACCTTAAGAAAATGCTCTCCATAGAAGTGCTACATGTATGCATTAAACAGCCACTAGGTCTCTCACACATCACTCTTAAAATTCCCCCTCCCCCAGCGTAGAGTACCTCCTTTAGGCTTCATATAAACCAAATCAAAAGCTGAATGTTACAAATATTTTCGCAGGCCTTTAACTTATTCTTGTCCCACTTTTAAGAAAATGCAATCCCAAATCGAACAACATTGGGGATATAGTACTATTATTACTTCGACTACTACTGTGGTGAATGATACCTATGTCTGTCGACATAAGTAGTATGTGACACCGATAAGAAGTTGAATACCTGTCAAAAAGGTTGGGGATATTGCGCTGAAAAAACAGAAAGAAAAACATAAAGGAATTGAGGAATGGAAGAATCATGAAGGATGTAAAGGGCAAATGGTAGAAGATTTGCCAAAGTATTTAATGCATGGTTTTCACATTTTATGAAAGAACTGTAATTTTGCATCAAACAATAAACTGGTTGTCCCCAACCCGGTTCGCGTTTACTATACTAATACTAGTAGTAGTAATAATAATAATAATAATAATAACAATAATAGTAATAATAATAATAATAATAATAATAATAATAATAATAATAATAATAATACTGTGTTAACCTGTCTGACTTTATAAAATCAGAAGCTTCCTACTAGAATAGTGAAAAGCTCATCTAGAATCTAGGTACTAGTGAGCTCACAGATGAAATACATGTTCTCGATACTTTTTTTCTCGTTCACGATGAAATCTGTTCACAAACAACATAAAAACTTCAAGCCACACCTAAGTAAAAAGTTGATTTGATTTAGCTTTATAACAAAAGGGAAACAGAGAAAACTACAATAATATACACTCTAACCTACAAATTTAATTTCTTTTCTCTAAAAAGAAGATTGATTAGTTCAATAGTCAGATTAATAGATAATCCGCTTGTTTCAAAATATATATGAATTTTAAATCACCAAACATTAGTGGCTATACACGAAGACAGAATAAAGCTTGATAAACAATACAATGAATATCAAAGAGAGAGGTGGGAACCATAACTAAGTGTAAAATCTGTTATTTGAAGTAATTTACTAGAAAAACTTAAATTTTCGAAAGATCTGAATAAAGTAGGTCAAGTATTTCTTCATAGGAGAAATTATAGTTAGATTTATTAACCTCTTTATATATACGTTTCTTTCTGAACTGTCAGTCCAACCACTTACTGACGAGTGATATATACATATATTTCAAAAAAGTTTATAAAATACATGAAGCATGGTGAATAAAAGTTTATAGATGAAATAAAATATACCTATCTTGATGATAATTCAAGATCATTATGATAAACTCTCAACTCTGATCTAGTGGATTAAGTGACATGCTAGGTGCTTATTTTAAAGATCGTAAGATCAATTTTAAAATGTCCTGTACACATAACAGCTGAGTTTAAACCTGGATACATGATAAATCATTAGTGCATCCATCAATGTAAAACATATCGGACTTCGAAGCCATACAAATGGAACAACGATAGCTTTATGTCTAAGTTAACGATACTGACTAAAGTCTATCAATCACAATATAATTTTCCCCATTAATCTGTGTGACATAGGATTAAAAGTAGGCTGTACTTAACAAAATAAGACATTAAGGTTAGATTTAACGCTTGCTAGCACTTTACAGCAAGAAACGACTACCACTAGCAAAATTAAACAGCTCATGTCTGAGCACTTAGTCTGTAAAAAGAGATTAATGTCAATCAGTAGATGACGAAACAGACTTACGCTTCATTAACTAAGCTGAGACCAACAGCCAAATGAACCAAGTTGTAATCTATCACTGCAATTCATGATTGCAAATATCTTCGGCTACGGAGTTCAACAATACTTGTTCGAATTTCAGTTAGACATATTTCCTTTACTGATTATTGTTAACACGTACGAAGTACAACTATCTAATAAATAATCCAAAGTTTTTGTTTATTTCTGAGATAAAACGCAAAATCTCATATAACTCACAAATCATTCAAATACAGAAAATAATTCATTTAATAATCTCATATTTCCCGATTACAGTTTTAATGACCAGACAATGGAAGCAACTCAAAAAGTAAACAAATTAAATTATCTTAATTCGAAATAAAAAAATTAGGAAAAAGAACAAATTATGCTAAGAAAGCAAAACACAAATTTGACACTACCTTAGATTACTTAATTCCACTGATTGTTGTATTATAGGATAATCTACGGGAGAGAAAATACGGTCATTTTGTGCAACGTGAATAAAACGAGAAATTAAACACATATAGACTAGATGGATAGTGGCTAGCAGTGGAATCCAGGACGCACGTTTCGTCCTGTTTGGGACTCGTCAGCTGGATGTACCTGCATCTCGGAGTTGATGTTCACTCTGGGACTCGAACTCAGTACCGTTCGCTTCAAACGCCATCGCGTTATCCACTTAGCTACTGAGTCCTGATAGCCACTTGCTTGTGCAATGGGTTGAAGTTTAATTCACTTGATATTGTTTTACTTGAATTTTCCCATTGATGTTTTAGGACTGAAATTGATCAGTCTCTTAAAACATCAATGGGAAGATTCAAGTAAAACAATATCAAGTGAACATATATAGACTGTTTATTAAAAAAAATTATTCCGGATCAACATTCTACTGAACGGTGTAGCAGATTATAAACTCAGGTATAGAATAATAAATCATAACACGTAATTTAGACATACTTAGTAGTATTTATAACATATTTAGAAAAAAACACCTGTTTTAGCATTCATGCCAAATCATCCAAGTCATCTTGAAAACATGTCCCTAATTGTAACGCAAGGTGATGAAAATTGAAATATCTGAGAGAGTATAGTTACTGTTTCAATATCTGCATTTATGCATATCATCAACAAACACAAAACCCACATCCAAGAATGTATTTTGGTGGCCCGAGATCTGGCTCCAGTTAGATCGCAAGTATGATTGTTATCGAAATATACATCCTGGTTATCCTCGTATATAATGATCAACTTAATTCGCGTTAGTGAATAACGGATTTAAAATAAGTCAAATACGAGGACGGATTTTTGAATACATATATTTTTATACTCGTTGATTTGAACAGAAAATCAGAGGAATGAAGCGAAGAAAAGAGAGCGTGAAGTGAAATGACGTGTAGTGGAGATGGTGTGTGAACCAACTCCAATTAATCAAGCGTTAATCAATATTTATAGTTACACAAAAATAAGCTACAGATATGCAACGAGTAGGATATGAGGTACACATACATACGCTCATATGAAAATTTTGGGTTGATAAGTGAATGATTAACAAGGTCAAAATGTGACTCAAGAAGAATGGATAAACTGGCCTGTCACACTACAATCTCTCTGATACCATCAAGCTTTACATTACTTTTAGACAAGTTGAATTCAAACAAATCATTATACAAACAAATGACCAAGCACAAACAATTTTTATGCAAAATTGTCAACTGATAGAATATATGCGCATTTTCAGACAACAGATGAGTACAATTGAGGCGTTTCGTTAAATACAGATTATGAAAAAGACCTGACATGAACAGCTACTTAGTGTTCCTCATAAAAAATTTATTTTGTTTACAAAGTGAGTTCCTATAAACGTTTATTTTAATTTAGTTTAAATGGTAAATTTCCTAAATTTAAAATTTTGTTTTAACATGACTTGTCATTTGGTGTTTGTTATAAACTACGAACGCCCAAATAAATTTTCACAAAGACAACAAACGAAACGTTATGAAAAAGAAAAATCAAAACTAATTAGTAAGTTAAATGTTCAAATACTACTAGACAAATGAGGCACATTCTTAAATTAGACGCAAATGCTCTTGAATGAATGAATTCGGACTAGTATATTTAACGCAAACATAAACTAAATATATACCTAAATTATATTAGTATTATTGTCGAACACTTAGTGGTAAGTTCCCCGACTATTAAATTGGTTTGTGTCATTCAAGTAGTAAGAATATATTCTGATGTTAAATCTTATTTGTGGTGTTCAGTACATAAATTTAGTCTTTCTACGTTGAATATACCTGAAACAGTAATTATAGACTGAAGAACGTGAAATCTACAGATTAAGATAGTTCGATGTGTTACGATGAAAATAACTGTAGTAACCGAAATGAATGTATATTTTACCTTTCTTCAAGTTGTTAAGCTATAAAACTACCTAGTTTGTCTGTTGCAGACATGCGGAAATAATATAGGCAGTGTTATACATAGAAAAATCAAACAAGGGGAATATTTCCCATAGATTTCATATAATTTGAATTAATTTATCCTTTCAGTAATGAGGCACAGGTTTGTTTACTAAGATTTGAAACACTTTCACTAACAAAGAGAATGAAAAACTACAGTTAAGTATCACAAATTTTGAACCTACATTTGGACAATCAAAAGGCAGGTGGATAAATCACTGAGTTATATCATTATGGTCTAATAAATATGCCTACCGACTACGTTGACTGAGATATCTTACAATACATTTCGTCATTGAAAGATAGACGTAAATCAACTTTCTGAAGGCTCTTTACTTAATTATCAATGGTCGAGTTAACGTTTATGGAAACTGTCAACGGAATTGACGAAATCAAGACTACCTACTTTCCTCCATTTTCCGTTACTTTTGTCGTAGACAGTTTTATAGAGATGATACTTCACCAAACTGTTTAGGGATGAATCTCCTACCATAAGATTTCCTACTTGATCTAGAGTGCGTAAATGACGGACACATCCAACGATGGGAACGAAAAAGTGCTCTCTTTTGGACACCCAAAGTATAATTGTAGGGATATTTGAAATGAGTTTTTGTTATTATTTCTCTTATTATGACTCAGCTACTCTTATTGCTTAGTATTCTTAGATACCGCTTCACTCAACATGTCCCCAAATCAGAACATGATTAGACAGTAACGTAATTATATTCCAAATAAACAAGATTTAATGAAAGTAGGAATCACAATAAGAACGCTAGTATATTTATAACTTTTACACAGGAAGATTCTAGAGTCTTTGCCAAGTATCCGCTAGCGCTGATCAGTTAAGAAAATAACCAATCAGTATGTCCTGATATAACTCTGCATGGAATATGCTTTCATTCAATCTATATCCCGCTAAGTTTCTTTCCCTATAAATGAAAATATTACTTCCGCACTGGTCTGTGTCAACAAATACTCTGGCCATAGGCAGAAAAGTAGTCGAAAACGTCGAGCACTTCACTTATTTTGGAAGTCTTGTCAAACCTTTTGAGCGGGTGTCTGACAAAAGCTCGGCACTTATTTGAAAAAGCTTGCCTATCTTTGTGCCACCTGTGGAGTGAGGGAGAAGCTGGTCTGTCAAATATAGTGAGCGCCAACACCATCTGTACAGCTCAGTTGCATTCAATTTCTCTTCCCTGAAATTTTGAGTTCAGTATCGTTCCTAACCTTTCATTCCTCAATCCTAAATTTTATCCTTTGGAATAGTATTTTTTATGTTTAGATTTTGATTGTTTTCAATATTTCTCATTCTATGCTTCACATCTTGTTGAATCTCTCCCAATTTGCTGATGTAATGTGCGACCTCATACCGATGCACACTCTAACCAGGTTCTATGATGATGATGATTAAATGACAGTATAGCGGTTATTGGAAGACTTTCTGTGAATCTACATATCGTATTGACGTATGCCATATGAAATTCTTTTTCAAACAACTGGTATGGTGTTATACTTAGAGAAGTTACCTCAGTCGTACGTTCGTACATCAGTTCGAGTTGCCATACCACATTAGCACAGAGATGTAATTGCCGATTCAAATCCCATAGTGGTAGAGGCAGTAAAAGTATAAGCAGTGATCGGAAAGATTAGGTTTTGAAGATTTTATGCAAGGAGTATAATCCAGTGAAATAAATTTGGAAAGAGAGAAGTTACCTATTAAAGATGAACTAAGGACTGTGTAAAACACTAATATTTACACCCAAAAAAGCTTATTTGTAAGGCAGTTGGATGGTATTAAAATAAGTAAATACTAACACAAACCAATTAAAAATTGTTTGACTGAAATAAAAAACTTTTTAGCTTAGTTTAAGAAACTAATATTTACATTCATTTGATGTTGCATTAGTACAAATAGCTAAGTTTAATACATATAAAGTTTTATCTATTTGTTAAAAAAATGCCTGATATAAATGATGAATAGTATCATGATATATTGTCATTTATAATGTTTAAAAACAATAAGAAACCAGTTTGAATTTAAAGACCAAGCTGGTCTTTTGATGGCTTTAGAATCCAAGAAAGGTATTCCATCTCATTTGACAAACGTCAACTAAATTCCGAGGTTGATAACTTATAAGAGCACCCAGAATGTACACTATCATATTGAAAAAAACAGCTTAAACCCCATCTTGTGTCAACATTCGGCATCATGATTAACTGTAATTTGTAGTTAGACGATAGCAGTACACAACTGAGACCCAATAATCAGGTCAAGTTATTCACTTAGAAAAACACTATGGTACAACCACAAAATACCAGTAACTGATTTGTTGAATAATTTTAACTAAATTATGCAAAACATACCTCTTTACAGTCAGTTATTCCGATGACCGCTTTTTTTTTAAACAAAAGCTTTTTTATAGTATGTTTTGAGGATAATTTTCACCATGAACAAGAATTATTTGGAGGATTACTAAAAGGAACAACTGTCCAGTAGTCCCATATCTCTAACGTATTTCAAAATGACGTCAGCTCATGATGAAAATCTTCACAAACAAAAGATATCTTTTACTAATAGATACTTAAGTAACTACGAAATCTCATAATGTATATTTGTGATTTATGAGTTAAGGTTGTAGTTGTGAAGGATTTACTGGGAACGATTCTTTTTAAAATGATCTGACTTATTTACAGCTTTCGCAGAATGCAATCTTAATTTATTTAATCATTGCTCAGTCTGACTATTTTTGTTGGATTAATAAACCCAGTAACGCATCGAACAACAATGTTTTCGGAAAATCTGACTTTTGTTTGAGAGCGAGTTTAAAATATGAATCAGACTGTTTTCGAATCAAGATTTGATCATTTTGAAAACTTTCACAATTATTTTGATAAGCTGAATTGCACGGTAGTATAATCACAATATAGACGGGAATTATAATACTTGCCAAAATTATTTTAAGGAAAACAATTCAAATGTAAGCCAGACTACAATAATGATGGATTTATTAACTGTGATTTTCAAAGTAAGAATAAAAGTCTTACCATTTATCCGATCATAATCAGTATCATTTGTGTCCGTCATGTTTGTACAAACAACTGAGGCCAGAACTTGTGCGAAAATGATAAAATTGAGACATAAGAATGGTCTTCGCAATAAAAATGTGTCTGGTGTTCTACACATGAAATCAGCATTAATTGCTACAAACATATTTGAATGTCCCATGAACCCTGGATTCGAAAATAACAGAATAGCTAAGTATCGAAGAAATTTGTCTTGTGATTGCTTGTTAGGCAAATTGATGAAACCTACAAAAAAAGAGAGCTTAAATGCTTTGATGTAGACAACAAAGATATAGTTCTATGCGTAATAAAACACCATTGAGAAATCAAAGCAAATTAGTTCGAAAAGTAAACAGAATTTATGTTTTCCAGTTTTTATCAGGGTGGGGATTTATGGTAATTGTAGTAGTTTTAATAGTCGAATTAATTAGTCGATCTAAACTAGACCACAATTGAAAACCTCGAAGCTCTGGATATCTGTTCCGTCCTAGTATAAGACTCCTCAGCAGTGCGCATTCATGATCTCACATGCTGGACTCGAACCCAGGACCCTCAGTCTTACGCGTGAGAAGCCGTTACTAGTGTGGTCTAATCCGTATCGGGTAGAGACAGATATCTACCTAAGACAGTTGATAAAGGGCTGATCAAGACCATGGGTCGATTGAAGTTAGATATTAACACCATTGGGATGCCGGATCAGTGGTCTAGATGTTAAGCGCTTGCGTGCGAGACCGAAGGTCCTGGGTTCGAGTCCCGCATGAGGAATCGTAGATGCACACTGCTGAGTAGTTTCATACCAGTATTAAACAGGCATCTAGTGTTTTTGGTTTTATCATTATGGACAAAAAGATACAAAGGTAATAAAATGAAGAACACTACCAGACAGGCAAAAAATGTACCAAAAATAACCTAATTTAAAGACAATGAATATACTTGTACCAGTGTAATTTGCAATGTAGCCTCCCCATTAGTGTCAGTCATTTTAAAACCTTACTAACGGGCTTAATATTTTTGACCAAACATTTATGCGTTACTTAGACACTAAATACTGAATGATTTTGCCCAATGTAAATGATACTTGAAAACATTGATGGCAGAATCTCGAAGGCGTTAATAGTGAACTATCATTTACAGCGTCGCATTATCAGGTAGCAACTTTTTCATATAACCCAGTAACCCAGTAAATACTTGTGTACATGATGTTGAGACACGTTAATGTTGGTAAGCGATTACCCAAATTAAGGGAGGTAGAGGAGGATTTAAACTACTGGCTCAATAGTTAATAGTTAAGTGTTTTAGTTGCCAAACCACCATACTAGAACAGTGTTTCTTTAAAGAACATTCGGCAACTGGCAAGCATATGAATACTTTATCGGCAATACAGATGGTCCCGACTGTTGAATGTAAATTGAGTCATATATATGACGAGATTTTGTCGTGGCAATGTCATTCGGACGAGTGAAATAGTCAAGCGCTCGAATAGTGAATTTTTTCGGCGTTTCCTCTTAACGAGAGAAAATAGTAACTAAAGTCTGGAAAATTAAATGATCCGGATGTTAGCTCGCTACAACTTAACACAAATTCAGACAATAACAACTACATATTCATTGACTGGTTTGTTTGTTTTTAATACTAAGCCCTTTACACTCAGTATTTATGCAACGATCAAATGCTTTGAAATTTTAGGCGATTCTTATATTAAGAAGAATTTTGATACAATCCTACAGCACGACAGAGTAAACTAATGAGACATACATGGAACTCTTGACTGTTAAAAAGAACACACATCACCTTTACTAGTGTCACAGCGTTTGAGTACTAACCGTCAATGATCAACACATTATGGACAAAACAAATGACCAGTTACGAAGATCGGTCATTGCATTCAGCTTTGATAAACAGCAATGTTAGATATTAATATGAAACAGTTCATATAAAAATATTCACAATTAAAATACTTGCAAAGTTCGGATGATTTCAAAGCCAATAACTTGAAAATTGCTGATGATGCTGGTAAAAACGGGATTCAATTACACCTCCTCTTAAGTTGTTAATTGAATTAATCCATGTTTGGCTAATTAAACCAAAATGAATTTCACAATAACATCCGTTTCTACTGCAGAAAAGTGAATTTTTCTTCCTCACAGATAAAATCATTATCAACACGTAGGCACAGTCGAATAAAGTATTACTTATAACATAATATAATATAAAACTCATCACAAACATCACATGAGTTTATAGAGTACAACACAAACAGTCTAATTAGATTGTCGATAACGTGCAAGTACAGTAGAAATTTTCAAAAACGTCGAGGAAAATATTCACGGTGTTCTTAGTTCAGTAAGTCAATCTAGTAAAATGTATACCACATGTTTGTCATTTCGCACTCACTTGAAAACCCAGCGATCATGATTGAATTGTGAAAACTAGAGCTGACTTTCACCAACCAGAAAATGTCACTATTTTTGTAGTTTTTTTCTGGTAATCTGCTAGATTTTGCTCTATTTTTGTGATATTTTTTACATAGCGTAAGTGTTTTATAGTGGTCACTATATTCATTGATGTGGATAAACTAATCGTTTATTTCCTGAAATGTGATGGGTGTAACAAGTGATTTCATAAGATACGCATCCGTTTAACTTCAACTCCATATGAGACATGTTTGAAGAATGGAATGCTGAGCAATGGTGGGTAAACTATCGGTAATGACTTTAAAGTCACTTCATCCGAAGATCCGAATAGAACTGTTGTCGATCGTCACAGTATGAAAGTCTCAAGTGAAGAGGAACGAAAATTGATGAGGAAGCAAAGGATTAAAAAAGACTGGCACGGACAGCTCATCAACCAAGAAATCTCCAGACAGCTTTCATTTTGAGTCACAGAATACCCTGTCAAAGCTCTAAAGCAAGATTACAAATACATATAACCATGAAGAAAATAGTCGAATTTCCCTGAAGATTATGGATTATTTGACTGAATCACATGACTTTGACCCTGAAACTCGGTACGCACACGATTTAAGTTGGAATATTTATTTGTACCATTTTGCCGAATAACTTACAAGAAGTTCAGACAAAAAAGCTGATAATAGGCAAGAGGTTGGATAAAATGTCGACTCCCGATCATGTAGACTCCCTAAGGTCATATTAAAGTCGTGGGCACCTAAGAATCGTATGTTAAAGAGTAGTCGAGAGGAGGATAACACTGATATTCAAATAAAATTTGATATATCAATAGAGGATAGGATCAGAAGGCTGCTCTAGTTGAGCTAGTAACTAGTTGAAAATAACGATAAAGAAAACATTCTTCTGGTGGGTTTTAGAGCACCTGGGTTTAAAAGAGGATGCCACCAAGACTTGCGTTAATAAATTGTCCTCTTCAGGAAAGTATTTCACGAAACTATATACCGAAATTCGATGGCTTCTTAATGTACTAAGGAATGCTTTTGGACCTGATAAACCTTCTCTTCCTTCTCTATTCGCTTAAGACAACGGAAACGACATAGCGGAAGAATTCACAAGCAATAAGAGGACAGAATACAGTTGACATACATGTTTTCTCGTCTTCATCAAATCTTGGAGCATACTACCAGGAGAAATGGTGTCCATACTTTCAAATGATTCATTCAACAAAAGTTAGATATTCACAGGAGCTCGCTTAAAATGCCTAATATAGATCAAAGACATCCTATCATCAACACAAATCTGAATTGAAATACGGAACGTACTGTGAAGCAATAAGGACCCCAAGGTCACGACTATTTGAAATTGCACGACTAAGAAATGAGCGTCAGTTTTCAATTAGACAATGTTAAAACACTCAACAAATTCTACAAAGTTAAGAACTTAGCAAAGTAATAAAGGTTCGTTATTATAATACTGAATGGAGGCACTTTTTCAGTATCAGGATTCTTAGTACAATAACGTTAAGGAGATTTAGTCTAGTATCCAATGATTTTGACCAACTAATGTACATAAATTGGTTTTCCTATACCTTCTTCTTAGGGTTACATTACAGTCCCAAATTTTTGGTGTATTCAATGGTGAACAATCCAGCCCCTTGGTGACATCATTCCTGACGGATATGATAGTTATTTGGAGACTTATAGTTCTTGATTACAGACGGGTGTAGTTTGCATGGTGGGTTTTCTCACACTATCGGCTGTAAGCTTTTCTGGCCGTTGTGCAAAGGCTGTGAACTTAGATCCGGAGAGGTGAGAAAAAGTTGCTGCTCAGAATGGTCAAGTAAACTGATGATGCAACGATCAAGAATAATCGAATTTTAAGAATGACATAAAACGGAATTAACTGGGATGAAGAGCTAATGGCTATTATAATACTAGGAATACTAATCGTAGTAATGGCAGTTCATGGGATCTGTATTAGGCACAGCCGTTCCGCTTAATTCATCATTTTTAGCCTTCTTCTCGAAGCTCCCCATTGAGAGGGCTGTGGTGACGATTCCAGACAACCCCTATTCGTAGGAATATTTACTTGATTGGTTATTCGCCCTTTGATATGGGATTTTTCGAGTCACTTCATGAAGCTCAGTGTTGGGGTTCAGAAAGAATGCTTTCGTTGGGTTGACGGTGTCTTAAAATATCGTTATGCTATGATCAAATCACTCAGAGATAACAATTTTAAGCAAGGATACCTAACCTCATGAGATCTGTCTTTCAATCCTATTACCCATTTTGTCTCCTGTTTCTGTATTTTCCATAAGAGATTTATACTTCTTATGAAAACATACTGTCATAAGCTCCTTTAGTGTGTGAGTTTGCATGTATCCCTGCACCTGTTTATCAAAATTATTTCATGTATACACTTTAAAGAACAATAAGTTATTATCTTTAGCTTTAAATGCAATGTTTTTATTTCCATGGATTGTGTTTATCGTATTCCATTTGTTACTGCCTCTTAGTAAATTTGTTAGTTCTCATTTCATTTGTAACCTGATTTTTTGCGAATCCACTTACTTGTTCCTAAGAACTGAAAAAAGTCAATTCTTTGTTGTTGGCGCCTGAACTGATTAAACTAAACGACTGTATAACGGTTTTCTTCTCTGATCGCTGATATTGGTTTTTATTTAAAAAGTAATATTTTGCATTTCTTAAAGTTTAATCGCTTGATGTGCTTTAAAATTCTTTTCGGGACGACTTGTTGCTATTTGGAAGTATAGTGCAATTTTTCATGGCTGAGTTAAATTTATACTTTTCATAGTATATCAACCATCAATATTGCTATTGTCACTCTAACTGAAATAATTTCACTTAAGGTGTCTTTAGAAGTAGTTATTTTATTACGAAATCAATTTTGGATCTGTACGTTTTACGAGTAAATTTGATTTTTTGTTTGTTGCACTTTTAGATCTGACAGTATGTGGTTTCACTTTTATTCTGATTATTAGGTTTTTTCCCCATATGTCTTTTGTGTCTAATTTATTTGAACATCATTAACTGATGACTGGACAGTGCAAAAACGCAGTCTGCACGAATCTAACGCCTGTGGCTTTTGAACAGATTAGTAAAAACGAGTGTGTGTGGTTGAGTCAGCGGTGCTGCTGGAACTCCGTTAGTTTGATATCCAAAGCCATTAGAATGGTTCAGGCTGCTACCAGACATACTAGTAAGCGTAATAAAGATGGATCAAATAATACTCACCTTGCTGGTACAAAAATCTGTTGAAAGTCCTCTTAAATAAGCTCAGAGTCGATTGACCTACATGAACCAAAGACTGAAGGGGCGACTTGAAATAGGTCTGTTAAAACTACGAACCCAGTAGAGAACGTTTCCTCTGTCCTTCGCCCTTCAAATAAAGACAGTTAGCAAACACATTGCAAAGCTAACCGTAAGGTTAGGTCAGTTCTCAGCAGGAGAGACAGCAAAAGTCATAACCTAGCCACTCGAGCTGACAACAATTCCTTGAGGTTTCACAGTGTATGTAATGTGACTGTGATTATAACTCCAGGGAAGAATGGTGAATGGATAAAAATTAAGTGTACGGAACGATCGGTCATAAAAAGAAGCACCAGTTTCCCTAACTATAGTTGAGAAGCCAAAGTCCGATTATAGCTCCAGGTCTGAGCCCAAAACTCTCTTTAAGAATGATATTGAGTTGACAAAAAATATTTAATTGGCTAATACATCAAAATATCTCTGGGGTCACATTGCAGAACGTTTACAGACTAAGTAGCCAAACAGACTCGGAACAAAACCAAACTAGGCCGCTGAAATGGTATTTAAGTCTTCTAATGAAAGGGACTTAGCACTACGAAATTGACATAAACAAAAGGGATCAGGAGTTACTACCTTACCATAAGAAAAAGCGGTAAGCTGAGGAGGAGCTAAAACCAAGATTAGGTGTCGGTGAAAATGACTTCAGAATCGTTATTAATGACGTTCCATGAAAGTTGCGTGTGAACAGGTTAGTTTGTGCTTGAAATTCAAAGACTAGAGCTGCTGATTGGTTTGATCTACATCAGTCAAACTGTGAAGTGATTGAGGTATTTCCAAATGGTTTCAACATCTAAAGTGATTGGCGTTTAATCCCAAGACACTTTAATTTACCTACCGTATGTTGGAGAAATCGGAGTACTGAATGGTCAGAAAATTCTTTCAAACAGAAGCTAGTTAACTCATTTGTTACACGAGACCTAGTGTAGTGTGTGAAGAACGAAGATAGGTACGATCCGGATTCTAAATCTAGCTTACTAGATCTAATACTGACCCATTATTAGGATGACATCAAAAGCCTTGATTATATGTCACCTTTATTTAAGAGTGAACACAAAGTTCCAGTCTTATTTCCATATTGTTGTCAACGGCAACTTGTTAGTCCGAGGCAAACCAAGCGTCATGAAATGTAATGAACGAGAAATTAAACACTCAACATTCTTACTAAATTGGACAACAGAACTAGAATCTCACACTGAGGCGTCTTTGGCCGTATTCAGTGATACATGTTCTGGCTAAAACCAAGGCGAGTTCCATTGTTTGATCAGACGTTCTACTGTGTTGATGGTAATTGGTAGCATTTATATATTTCCAATCAGACAAGCCGAACATAATGTTTCGCATAAACATTACTCTCAAATCCTTTTTGGTTACAAGACAGATTTAATAGCTTCAGATGACAACATAATACCATGATAAACCATATTGTTTTTGGGAGGAGCACATTATGTTCAATATTTATTTGACAATTATTAGTACTGGTTACCGTTTCTACACATAAATATTACCAAATCTGTTTTAGTCCCTTCATGTCCCTAATTTTAGTTCCACAAGTTATTTCTTAACTTTGCTGTTTTTATTGTTACATTCCACATCGACGTACTGGTCAACTTAGCTTACACCTACATAATATTTTATTTCTATCGTGTCATCTGAATTTCCCTATTATTTTAACCTCT